GTGTGTGTGATATCTGTGATAAAAGTGTGGCCAATATAAATATTGATTACCATTTTTCAAACTAATCAATACATGAATAATTAAAAAACAGAATTTCAATTTTTGATTTCTCATTAAATTCAATTCGAATCATATCAGATTGGAAGTTAGAGACAGAAATCAAAGTTAGTCAAATCATTGAAAACATTCATATCAAGATCATGATGATAATAATTGAGCGATTAAAATGAACGAAGAAAATAAATCGAAAATTTTCCTTCAAGTTGTTATGACGATTATTTCTCATCTTCATCATATTTTTAACGAGGGGAAGAGGGAGAGAAATCACAAAGTTGGAAATAAGTATGATGGTAATTAAAATTAACAAAGTTAGAAAAGTAAAAAAAAGAAAATCTGAAACACACACATAAAGGTGATAATAATTCGACTTGATTGACCACTTTTGTGATTGTATCGATCATTTGAAATCAAAAATAAATAAATACTACGTCTCACAAACTATATATTATCGATAATGAATGGTTAGTGGACAACCAATTAAAACAAATCACCACCGACGCCTTCATCATTATCGTCAGATTGTGAAGAAAAAACATGGAAATGTAACAACAAAGTTAAAAAATCATAACGGAAATATAACCTTTTCCAAATAACTGATATGATAGAACAAAAACTGGAATCAAAAACATTTTTCAAAAAAATTGCAACACACAAGCCGTTTCCGTCTTATTCTATTTTATTTTGTTTGTTGTTTGATAGTTTGATACCAACAACTAGTGGATATAAAATATCAAATGATCGATGTTCAACTGAAAAACAATTCGTGTGTTTTTATTCTGAAATCGAATGAATTATCTGGATTAATACAAGATGGTGATAAGGTTTTGAACATGTTTCCCGTTGTCTAAATAATAATAATGATGATGATGATATATAAGACACAAACAAAAGAATCCATAAATCATTTTTCACGATGAAAACGGTAGTCGAAATAATCGACAAAACAACAATATGGCGAAATTATTGGATTTAAAAATGATACAACAAATCGATCGTGTGAATTGAAAGAAATTTTTTCCCTTTGGTGTGCATTTCCAAGTTTCCAAACTTCAAATACAGCCCATTAAATTAACACGAAAAAAACAAATGTCCATTTCGATATAGTGATGCGAAATGAGGATAAAATAAACATGTACCCTAAAACTAATATTTCTTCAACTTTCATTTCCATCCATTTCGATGCCTTTTTCGTGTTTTTCTTTTTCAACATCCATCATATGAATGTATTGCAAAATCCAAATATAGCCCTCAATGGATTGTAATGGATCAATCAATCAATTGAAATCGCTCACCAGAGAGACCATGATCGTTCTAAAATAGAGACACAATCATCAATAAGAATATGAAAAAAAAACAAAACAGCAACGACGATAGCAATCAAATCAACAATGTCAATTTAAATCAATTGATCGATGATTGAGTTGATTCAATTTGTCTGTGAAATGCACAAAAAACAAAATTGTAAATTCAAACCTCAACAAACAACAAAACCAATCGAACAAATTAAAAAAAACTAACGTCATGTTTAATTGAATTTAATCGAAGTGTTCAAATCATCAATTTGACAAAAACATAATTATGATCAAATGATGATGGCAAAAACCATAATGATTTATGGCCAATGGCAAACACACAATTACATTTACACATTTATTATGACCAACCAAAGAGAGAGAGAGAGAGAGAGATTTTGTTCTTAATTGAAAAAAATGATAATATTAATAATGATGATGATGATGATGATTTATAGAATGGAAATAGGATTCATTCACTGAAATCCTTGAACAATGAAATAAAAAAAAGAATTCCTCGCCTGTGTGTATGGATTTTTTCTAATAATAATAACATGAAATGGAACACTCACTATTTATTGTGAATAAAGAATTCATGGAGCAATAACAACGAAAAAAAATCCGCAGAATTCTTTGAACGGGATTTGTGAATGTGAATCTGGTTTCATGTGTGTGTGAGTGAATTCTTTTTTTACACATCGTGGTGTTGATGATACCCGATTCACGGAAAGATCCCAAAAATTATTTTTCATTCATAGACTATCACTAGAAAAAAGCTTACACACACACACACACACATCCTATTAGTAAGTTCATTAAATGAATGATGTATGGTTTTGTTGTTGTTGTTGTTATTGTTGTTCATAGGAATACTGGATTTTATATTCATTCATCCTAATGGAAACAAAAAAAAACTCGACAACCGTTAGCAATAGAGAAAAGCATCGATCACTTTGTGCTTGCATAAGATTCAAGATACAAGATTTCAATATTGCATACTGATTTTCAATTTCTCAAACAAAAAAAAAACATTCATTCATCGTATGTGTATAATGAAAGTTTATTCTGTCTATTATCATTATTATTTTATTATTGAAACGGTGGGATGCAAATTCAATGTTTGTGTGTGTTTGGTTAGTTGGTTGGCAAAGAATATCCAAAATCATTCACCTAATGACTAGAGAAAGAGAGAGAGAGATCAGTGTAGAGACACTACCATATCAATGTACAGAATGCGGTTCATTTTCATTATTCATAATCATCAACCAACAACCATATTTAATAATTGATGAACCAAAAAAATTTATCAAGAAGCATCAATTATAGAATGCAGAAAAATAGACCGTCAAATAAAAAATTGGAAATGGAAAAAAATAAAACCGAACTAAAAAGAGACAAAGAACAAAAACAACGACAAAGGAAACGCGATAGGTGGACCAAAAAACCAATCTTCTTCAACTTGGACGAGCCATTCAAATAATTTATCCAGCTCTTGTTTTTTGTTGTTGTCGTTTTCATGTTGAAACTTTGCGAGAAAAAACAATAAGATTTAGATGTAGAGAAAATCTGGCATGGTTCATGAATGTGATTCTTGACTGTGATGAATAATGTAATATATGAATGAAACAATGTCCTATGGGGAATAATGTTGAGTTTTAGACATAAGCAATTTTTCAACTTTAATTTCAAAAAAATTGTGATTTCCTTTGTCGATGATTGAAATGATTTCAGAAAGTGTCCACAATCGGGATAAATTTCAATCATAAAATTTTTTCTTTTTTCAATCATTAATTGGCAAGAAATATTTTATTTAAACGACTAACAACACAGTGTGAATGTAATGTGTCGGAAATGTTTCAAAGTTCTTTTCCTAATCAAATCCGGATGGTACAATACGGAAGTCAAAAAATAGTGCGTCTACCCAGCACAAACACGCAGACAGTTTGGATTTTGTTTGTATCTTGAAATTTTTTTTTCTCGTTAATATTTTCTTAATTATTATCAATATAAATCTTGCTTACAAGTGTGTAGGAGATATATGAAAGTAAATAAAAAAAACCACAAACAAGTAGCTGAAAAAAAGTGAACAAAGTGTATCATCTTGTTGAATGAAAAAAATAACAAATTTCATTTTCACCATACAGACAGACACAATGGGGAAAAAGGAAATAAAATTGATTTCAAAAACCAACCTAATTCACTATTTTAGTGTTGATATAATAAAGTATGTCAACTATATAACTTCCGTTAGACCATCAACACTTTACAATGATTCGGATTAATCATTTATTAGTCCGATGGATGATTTGTATTTGTATATGGAAATCACGACCAATTCTGCCATCAATTTATTCAATTCAACCCTATTTTGAAAATCAAAAAAACCAACTTTCGATAAATTTTAAAAATAACAAAACTATCCTCACAAATTCGGATTCAAATCACGTTATCAGAAAAAAATGCTACATAAATTTATAGTCTTGGCTATGGTTTAAAAAAGACGTTGACCACATTTTCATGATGTGCAGTATCGAAGAAAGAAAAATCATCGTAGTCGATCATTAATACCGGAGATGGACTGATTGTAATGATGATAACGGGAAATTTTTTGTCATTTTCATTTTCATCATCATGGAAAACAACCAATTCAGCAAACTGAATTATAGTGACCGAGCGAGACAGTAACGAAAAAAAAATTAGTTACTTTACTTGAAAAAGATAAGAAATCAAATCAAAAATTAGATTGAATGAACAAATCATTAATCTACCTGGTCAAGTGTGTCCACTCTGAAAATATCTATGTGTGTGTGTGAGTCTTGATGATATGCAATTTTTTTGTTTTTCTCGCTAGAAATCAAAAACAGGTAGTTTACAATTTTCTTGAGAAAAAAGTAAAAGCGAAAAAAAACTCAAACACCATAGTTGATATGATCTGGTTTAGATTTCAAAATTCAACATTTCACATCCCCATTCAATTAATCGATTGTGATGTACGACGATATCATATTTGTCGTGAAATATCAAGCATATTTTCGTCACATATTTCAATTTTTTCATATATTTCATCATCACTCTTTATTTCTTTTTTTACACAAGTCTGGTGCGACACTTTACCGGTTTTTTTCAGTAAATTTTTTCTTTCACCACAGAAAAGGATGGATTTGTAAAAAAAATCACGACAAAAAAGAGCACCTAGTGATAATAGTCGAAAATAAAAATGTAAAAAAAGATGTTTGGTGGTTCCAAAATAGAACTCTCATCCACCACGATGATGAAAGAAAGAAAGAGATTTTTCATTTTTGTTGTTGTTATTGTTGTTGTTGTTGTTGCCTTTCGTGCTTTGGTCATAAACACACACAAACCGTGTTTTTCGTGTGTATATCATCGAAAAGAGATACCAGATCTGGATGAAAAGAAAAAGATTCTAACCATCAACTGTAGTAAGGTGAATATTTAGTTTGTTGAAAAAATCATAAAAAATCTAGGTATAAAAACCAATGTAATTTGACTAAAATACGAGGATATTTTACTGTTTTTTTTCGTCTTCATTGATTCAGTGTTGTCGTGAAAATTTTGTTTCTTTAGTTTGTTTGATGTGATTCAAATATATTGATTGATTGAAAATTATCAACACAAACAGTAATAACAATGAAAAAAATATTATTGCTCACCATTACCACCATTACGGTGACAACATTAATTGAATGTTATACCGGCGTACCAAGAATGCCGCAATTTGGTTTACGTATTCCAAGAGCACCTAGGTTTCGACCACCATCATTTACGCCATCATCAAATGTACAATCACCACAATCACAATTAATGTCACAAGCATCATCACATCCATTTGCATCACAAATTAGACCATCATCATTACATATGGGTTCAATGATTGGACATTCACCACAACCAGGTTTTCCATCACCAATGTCACATCATCAAATATCATCACCATCATCATCACATTCGATGCCATTTCCAATGAGGCCAGGACCGCCAATGATGGATATTCCACATTCAATGATTCGACCACCACATCATCCAATAGCGCCGATATTTGCATCAATGCATCATCATACACAAGCATCACATCCACCACCATCATACCATCCGAAACCTTCATTCTATCATGGTAAAACCGATGATTGTCCTTTCCCAGGATGTGAAATGGAACCAACTTATAATGGAGAAGCACCTGTTCCATCGCCATATCAGGTTGAATCACCAATGATTCCATCATTGACATCACCAGATTCCAGCCCATTAGATTTATCGCCACGACCACCACTAGATCATGAACAATATGGATCCAGACAACCAATGTTATCAATGGGTAAACAACCGGTTAAAGTTGTTTATAAACCAGTGGTTAAATTGGTTAAAGTTCCAGTCGAAGTTCCAGTAAAAGTTAGACAACCATATCCAGTTAAAGTTCCTGTACCGGTACAGATACCTTTTCCAGTAAAAGTTATTCAACGTGAAAAAATTATGTTTCCAATTGCAGTACCATTTGGTCAAGTATTACCAGTAACAGCATTAGGTTCTCCAGCACAAATTAGTCAAGAACAACCTCAACAACAACAACAACAATATAATCCACAACAACCGCAACAACAACAGCAGCAGCAATATCAGCCACAACAACAACAACAACAATCACAGATTCCAATGAAACAACCACAAACAAAATCCCATTATCATGGACCTGGTGAATATCAACAAAAATTGACGCCCGTCAATGCAAATGGTGAACCATATGGCTCACAACAACAACAACAACAACAACAACAGCAAAACATTCAACATGGAAATCAAGAACAACAATATTATCCAGGTAATCAACAACAACAATACAACCAGCAAGAAAATAATCAAAACCAAAATCAACAACATCAATACAATCAAGTAAACCAACAACAACAGTATCATCGAGGAAATCAACAACAACAAATGCCACAAAAATTTCGCCAGGAAGTAGTTTATGTTGATGGACCAAATTATCGTGGCATTAGCGACATAAATTTTGGTGGTGTTGGCATACGAATCAATAATGAAAATAACAACAACAATTATGACAATCAACAACAACAAGGTTATGGCTATTCATCACCAATGAATGATGTGCCAGCAACAAATTATAATAATAATGAAAATCAAAATCAGAATTATGGACAATCTAATCAACAGCAACAACAATATGAACAACAAAATAATTTACGACCAACTATTGGACATTTGGCACAACAACAACAACAACATCATCATCATCATCAGCAGCAGCAGCAGCAGCAAAAATTATAATGGTCAACCAATGAATAATAATCAGAATCAGAATCAAAATTATGGACAATCAAATCAACAGCCACAACAATATGAACAACAAAACAATTTACGGCCAAATTTTATAATACCACCATTTACTCGAAATTTTATTTCAGAAAATCAACAACAACAACAACAACAACAACCGCAACAACAAGGATCAAATTATGTAGTACGAATTCTGAATAATCTACAACAAGGATCATCAGTAAATTATGGCAATGAAAATACACCAACACAAGGTGGTTTTGTTGCACCATTAAAAAACTATCGAACTTATCATGATGAAGGCGATAATGATAATTCAATTTCAATTGATCGTGGAATGGTCGGTTGGTCACCAATACGAATACCACCGCAATCATCATCACATCAGATGGCTGAATCCAGAATGTCCAATGATGGTATCGATGATGATGGTGAAAAAGAAGCTGTAGATAGTTTCATGCAAGATCGAGTTGATAATGATTTTGCATTTGGTGCATCAAGCCATATTGATTCGATTCATCGTCCAGTATCGATTGAAACACCATATGTAACCGGTAAATTGATTAAATCACCAATGATTATCAGTAAAATGCACAAACGGTCATAAACAATCAAGATTAATACATTTTTACAGCCAAAAGACGAAAAACGATTTTCTCACAATCATCACAACATAATTATCATCGTTCTAATAATTATCACTAATTATCATTAATGCCATGATATATCTCAGTCATTTTTTTCTCTTTTCACTTTTCCCTTTTTCTTTCATTCATTTGTTTGTTCCGAGTTTCGTGTATCAAAAGTAAAAAAAATTTTATTTAATTTTTTCGCTGCCTCAACTGCCATCTAGTGTTTGAGATGCAAACAAATTTTGAAAATTTTTTTATGAAAATTTCACTTTTCTCATGAATTTGTAATTTGCAGATGTGTCTGAATTGATGTGTCTTTTTTAAATTATCACTATTCAATCCTTGCGATTAGATTAAATCACGATAATTTAGAGAGAGAGAAGAGAGAGAGGGGATAATCCTACGGCCTGCTCAACTACATTTCAAATATCATTTTGTTATGATTAAATTGAAAATGCAATCAAAAACTGTCATGGTGTCTAAAATTGAGACCATTTTATTTGATGTGCGTTTGCCCTAATGAAAACTTTCCAATACGATACAAACCACAACAAAAATTGCTGCTACGCCCATTCGTTCATTTAAAATATTCAATGTGACATATTGATTTAATTCAATAAAAATACATAAATGAATAAATATGGAAAATCGTCAAGATAAAATATCACTTTGAAATCTGATAAACAAAAAAAAAAAAAGATATCTTTGTAGAAAACAGAAAGAAACACTTTTGTGATATTTCTTTAAAAATCTAGTGATCTAGAATGATTGAACAAAACAGTGATAACAACAACAACAACTCTATGGGGAATGGATTTTTTGTTTTTGTTTTGGATAACATCTATGTCATCTGTGGATCAATAGACAAATTATGATCCGTCTTTTTTTGATAATGATGATGATGGAAAAAACTCCTTGATAAATGATCATCGAATCATCATTATCCGGATCAAAGAGAAAGTCAGTATGAATGCAAACAAGCAATAAAATACGGATTTTAAACTGAACAAGAAATCTTATTACAAATCTTGATCATTTACCATTAAAAGAAAAAAAAAAAAAAATCTTGATGAATCTAAAGCGACACAATCATCTGATGAATTTTTTGTGTGTGGTTTTCCAATCCAAAACACAAGGACAAATCTAACTGATTACCTTCAAGGGACAAGGTCATCACAGAAATTGTTTGAAAAAAAACAGAAATTTTTTTCCAGGAAAATTTCTCCCACAGGCAAATGAATTTTGAGAGAGAGAAAAAAATGTTGCCAGCTTATGTGACAGTTTTTTTCAGCTTCGATATTTTTGGGTGAAAAAACATCAGATCAGCAAATCTAATCAAATTTGTAATCTGCAAATGACCTGTATTCATGTATGGCTCATCATCAATGACAGACATACAGATATATTGATGGATAGTTCAATTGATTTTCAAAACGAAACTGAAAACATGAAAATGAATTTCATTTTCATGTTTGCGGTGATAATGTCTACACATGTAACATGAAATGAGATGAAATATTAATGCATACAACACACGTGCTTAAATGATGGTTAATATTTTTTGATAAGAAAGCAATGAGGCGCTAAATGAAATATGGTTGGCCGGTAGAAATAAATTTGAAAATCGTGCATCAATCCAGTTTTGATTATAATTTAATTAATGAATCATTTAATTAACAAAATTCATCATCACCCATCTATTAATCAATTGATCAAATTAATTCTTTCCTGGCAATGATTAATCAATCCAATTCGCAAATTCTATTAAAAATGAAAACAAAATTTTCATTTCCATTTCAATCTTAATCCAGATTGAAAAATCATCAATAAAATACGGAAATACCAAATATCAAATTGTCATCATGTTAAATGTTTTCAATTAATTTTTGTGATTGAATTCTTCTTGAAATTCTTAGTGAAAAAAATCAAGATCACGTTTAATCGATTAAGACAAAGATATGATTAGATTAGATAAAATGACCAAAACTTAATGATAGGTTCAATGTTTACAGTGTAATTTCATAGTGGTAACAACGCATTTTTTTGGCAAAAAAAATAAATAAATATGAATCATCAATATCAAATCATGATCATTTGAAACCAAATTTAATGTTATGACACACGCACATTTACAATCAATCAACAAGTGTGTGTTTGTTACATTTAATCATTGGCGTGAGAAAAACAAAATTGTCATTCAAATCTTATTGTAAACCATCACAACCATTATATTCAATTTGATTCAATTCAATTACGAAAAAACAACATAAACAAAAACAAAACAAGAAAAACTTCAGATCAGATTAAATCAGATTTGGCTTTTTCCATCGTCTACGACATGAACAAGATTTAATTTGTCCAGCCAAGATTGAGTCATATGTTGTTGACCCATTCATAGCGCCATTAGGGCTAAATCGATTAACACCATTGTCGTTGTTGTGTTTGTTAAACGAGTGAATAAAAGTGAAAAAATTCAACTCAAAACAAATTGAGAAACAAAACAAAAAAATCATTCCATGGAATCTGATTGGGAAGTTTCAACAACAACAGCAAACATTCACAATCAAATACAAAGATTGGCTAATTATCCCGGAAATATATCAAGCAGCTCATTACATAAGTTACATAATGTAAATTATGAATAAAAAATAAAAGTGAAAAAAAATTCTTCACTCTGTTACACACACACACACACTTTAACATCATCATCAAGATAGTTCCGAATTGATGATTGTCATCATACAGAATTTTAAATTGATTTTTTCTAGTTCAAAATTCGAGAAAAAAAAAGAAAAAACCATAAATTAATTGACCATTTCCGTTTTTTCACATTTACCATTGATGTCTTTGTATGATCAATAGTGTAATCTACAAAAACAGAAATTGATTATTTTCAAAACCTCGGTCAATCATCAACATCATTATCATCATCCTATGAATGATGAGATTGAAAAATTGTTTTTTCCGAATCAATAATAATGATGGCAATAATCATCGTCATCAGCACCGACGGCCGGATGATGATGATAATGATAATGATACTGGAATAGAGAGCATTTTCATCAATCATCGATGATCACACACACACACACACACAAAAAATATATTCAAATGAAAACAACAACAATGGAGGCTAATCAATAAAATAATCAGATCCTGATAATTTCTGGATCGGAATAATGTCACGATCATTTTTTCTGACAGACAAGAAAAAATCTAGCACTAAAATTTTTTGGGCAAAAAATCCACATAGTAAAATGAATCAACAAGTTGCTGGATCCAATTATTGAATAATGGGATGTATTATTATTATGGTTAAAATTTTTTTTTGTCAAATTAGTAAAAATTGTCAACTAAAAAAATGATCAAATTTTTAGTATCTAGCAAAGAATCTATTTCAAAATACATTGGCATCTAATAATAATCGATACAATCTATCATTACTTGTTTGACCTCTGTGTGTATGCGTGTGTGCACGTTGTGAATCAAGTTTAAATTGATAATGGTGAATTAAATCAATAAAAAATTGTAGATTAGGCCAAATCTAATGTTGTTTTTCCTTATTTCCTCTATATATGCTTGTAATATGGCAATGTGTATGTGCAGCACACATGTCTAAGGTGTTATATAAATTTCCTCAATGAAAATGGTAACGATAAACTTACACACACACACGAACAATCAATGGCGAAAAAAGCATAGCATCAATCAGTCGATACAGACACGAACACAAGTTGGTATGGTTAGCCGAATGGCCAAAGGTCAATTGAAATTTCGGATTCATGGATAAAATATGATGGCCATAGACCATGTTAGTAAATTACTACTATCAATATCCTCTAGGCTTTTTTCAGAGTTTTCTCTTATCGTGATCCAGTTTTTTCACAATTTTTATTTTTTCATTTCATTTAAAATGAATAAATGAAGGGGGAGAAAATGATTTTTGTTTTTTCAATACATCATTATTTTATTGGCTATATTTTTTATCATCTACGATCATCTTAGATTGATGATATCGTCATGGAGAAAAAACAACAACAACGAGAGTGAAAAAAAGTGTTTTAAAAAATCGCCATCTCCTCTGTGTTTCAACAAAGAGAGAGTCATTTTACGCTTTAATTTCTCTTTTCTCGTTTTTGTTTTATGTTTTTCCGTTTCGTTTTTTTCTTGTCATTATTAGTTGTCGATTTGATTCAAAATCAAGAGAAATTCAATGATCATCAAACAAACGAATGAAGGGATAAAAAGCATCGAATCATCAGAAATTTCAGCATCAGATCAAAAAGTTTCCAAGTTCAAGGATTATATTTGTGTATTTTTTTTGTTTGTTCTGCGGACCAAGAAAAAATCATCGACTTTGATATTGATAGCATTTTGTGTTTGTGATTTTTTTTAAACTTCTTTACCGTCGTTCTCAAATCGACAATGTCACCTCAATCAGCCTTTTTATTTATCGGCATCCTGGTCGTTGTTTTGGTAAACAGCGCACAAGGAATATTTGATGGAAAAAAAGAAAAGATCCACATCTATAAACAAGTTCCACATCCAGTCCATGTTGTGAAAAAATATCCAGTGAAATATCCAGTCTATATTCCAGTCAAATCGAAACCAATTTACAAAAAAGTTGAAGTTCCAGTCAAAGTTCCTTACAAGGTAATTCAAGTTTGAATTTCTTTTAAATTTTCACCATTCATAATCATCGATTCAACAGGTTCCAATCAAAGTACCAATCAAGGTTCCATATCCAGTCAAAATTCCTGTTCCATATCCAGTCAAAGTACCAGTTTATGTCAAGAAATACGATAGCTATGGTGGAGGTTATGGCGGTGGTCACGAAACTTATGGTGGCGGTTACGGTGGTCATGGAGACGGTTATGTTACTGGTAAATTGATGAGCCATTCCGGTGGATATGGTGGCCATTATGAAGGCGGTTACGGTGGTGGTTACGATAGCGGATACGGTGGTGGTCACGATAGCGGATACGGTGGTGGTTACGATAGCGGATACGGTGGTGGTTACGATAGCGGATACGGTGGTGGTCACGATAGCGGATACGGTGGTGGTCACGATAGCGGATACGGTGGTGGTTACGATAGCGGATACGGTGGTGGTCTTGATGGCCATGGCATTGATGCTAAATATGGTGCTATCAGCACCTATTACGGTGATGATCATGGCTATGGTTCTTATGGTGGAGGCCATGATATGGGTTACGGAAGTGGTGGTCACGATAGCGGATATGGTGGTGGTCACGAATCTGGTGGTTATGGCGGTGGCTATGAAGCCGGTGGACATGGTGGTGATATGTATGAAGGTGGATACAAAAAGAAATAGACGATAACTCAACTAACTACTAATATCAACTAATCAATCGATAAAACCAAGCAATCATCAACAATCGATCGTCCATCCATCATAAATCATTGATAACCATTTGACATACCATTGTACAGAGACATTGTTAACAAATTTTTGTTTCATTTGTTTTCATTCTTATTTCTCGCACACACACACACATATTATCAGATAACGACCATCTTTTTTAACACACACATGACCCATCATCATTACCATTACCATTCGTTCATTGAAAGTTAATTAATAAATTTATTGAAAAAAATCATTAATTCTAATTGAATGATTGATTGATTGATTGATATGGTCATTCACTAAGTCCAGTACGGCTGTACTTGTTGTTGTTGTAAACGATACAACAACAACATTTCCATCAACAGGTCCGCCACCACCATTCGAGTATATAACAATTATTTAATCATTTTTTGTTTTTCTGTTTCATTTAGTGAAAAGTTCGAGTTCATATAAATTGCCTTAAACGTTGTTTTTTCTGTTGGAATTAATGTTTGTTTGTGTGTGTGTGTGTGTTGCTAATACAGATTGATTTCAAGTTCAATTTTTTTCTCTTGCCCGTGACATTTAATATTACCTTGTTTTTTTCTCGAAATCACGGAAGTGGACAAAATGATTTTTTTTTTGTTTTTGAAATGAAAAATAAAATGTGAGGCAAGCATTTAAGCTACAGTTAGAAGGTCAAGTAAATGGTGGAGGGAAAAGAAAAACAAATCAAATCAATTTCATTCATTCATTCATTCATTTATTTTCGCTTGATGGTTATCGAGATATGAAATCATAATATAATCAATTCAACAAACAACAACAAAAAAACAGGTGGTGGGTGTTTTTTAAATTCAAAAAAATTGATTGATTCAATTAAATTTTCAATTTTTTTTTTTGTTTGCAAAAACAATGACTGAAAATTGATTTATTCCAGAATTTTTTCCATGTTTAGTCAAAGTTAGATACGAAAGCAAGAAAAGAATGAAAAAATTTAGAAATGGTGGCAAATTAACCGGTAAAAATATGAAAAAAATTTTGACTCGAACAAAATTAGATCTGAATGATTTATTGGAAAAAATTCGTAAACAACGATCAGATTTATCAAAACAATTCACGACAACGAACCAGAACAATAATGAAAACATTGATAACCATCATCATCATTTAGAATTGAATGCAAAACCATTAATTCGATTGTTTCAGAAACCGTGGCTAAAACGAAAAAATGTTCAAAGCCAGAGAGAAAATCAGCCATCAAAACAACAAATGACAGATTTTTACTATGAATGTTATACTGATACTGAATTCACGAGACAGGATGATGTGGATCAAAATTGTTTGTATGATATTAATGATGAAAAAAATTCATTATTTTATCAAAATTTAAACGAATATCCGGATTATTGTGGTCAAACATCAAGATATATTCCATACCTATCGGTTATTCCATTCTATACACAATATTCGAATCATGGTAAGTGGTGATAATCAACTAAACTAAATTAATCAATTTTTCAATTAGAATTGAATCGACTCATTACAGTTGGTCCATCAATACAATTACAATCATCGAAAAGTAAAGATAGGAAGAAAAAAGTATCAAAGAAAAAATCAACATCACATCGTATTTCTAATGATGATTCATCATTAATGGAGGATAATGATAATCCATCATTACGGTTGAGCCTAGACAATAATGACATAAACAGCATCAATATAAATATGGATAATGAAAATATGCCAAAAACATTTCAACGAGAATCATTGATTATTATGAATAATGATGATGTTAATAATGACGATGATGACAGTAACAGCAATCAGAAGATTAGAATGCCTGAAAAATATTCAATTTTAGATAATTAAAATGAAAATTTCTTCGTTTCTAAAAAAAACTAAAACCACTAAAAATACAATATATTCTGGTCTAGTAGCAGTCAAGTGTGTGTGTGTGTGTGTGGTAGCATCATTTACATTATCATTATTAAATACAATAATAATACATAAAGTGATGATTCTAAATTTAAATTTCTCTTTCACTCATTCATTCAACATTGAAGATTGTTTGGTTTTCCAATTTACGTTGCGTTTTTTTTCGCTGTTGCCTTGATGATGATGTTATTATGGAAAAATTACATTACATAAAATTGTAATAAATTATCTTTATAAAAACTCAGTTCACGAGGATAATAATATAATAATATAATATGTTTATATGTTTATTTTGTTTGTTTGTTTGTTGGTGGTAAACAGAGAACGATATCATTATTGTATAAGAATAAAGATATTCTCGGTTTATTTGTGAATGAAACAATCGTCGTGGTTTTTTTTCATTTCTGTCTAATTGGAAAAAAATCGAGCCATTTCAAACGATGATGATGATGATGATGAATGAATCAATCAATTAACTTTCATAATTTTGTCGAGGGAATTTTTCGAAATTTGACCTATTTTTGAATTTCTGGAAATTTTTTTATGCCCAATTTTGAAAAAACCAGGTTTTTCGGTAAGGAACCGTAGTTGTGTACTTGTTTGTTTGATCATCATCATGTACAAGCTTGAAATTCTGGCATTTTTTCCACTCAATGCGGTTGCTGTTCTTGTTTGTTTTCTCATTGGATGTTGCTTTACATTTTTCTTTATTTTCATCATGATTCATCATTTCGCCAACGATAACAAACAAGTCAGTTTTGTGTGTACGTTCCACATGAAAAATTTCGCATCTTCATTTGGGGTTTTTTATTATTTGTCTGCATCCAAATGATACTTTCGAATAGCCAATATTGTATGGAGCAACAGTTTTAAAACTCGTGCTTCTTATTTCCAAATTCTTTTTGTTGAACTTTGAAGTATTCTTTTCAATTTTCATCAACAATTGTTCTGTTGGTGATGAGAGCGCTTTGAACCGTAAAGAAAATGAATAAAGTGGAAAAATAACCGAATTATATTACAAATTACAAATGTAAATCATAAATAGATGAATGTTTCATAGCACACACCAAGACATTTGCTTTTCATTCATTTAATATATTGTATTGCTTCTTGTAAATAGAAATGTCGGTCGGTCGTTCGTCGACAATAATGATGATGATGATGATGATGATGAAGATATATATATACATAACGAGATTTTCTTCATTTTGTTGGCTTTAGAAGAAACAAAGAATGAAAATTTGCTGATGAATATTTTTCACTTAAAGGTTTTTTGCCTCTCTCTCTCTTTCTCTTTTGTGCGGTAAGAAAAAAAATCTCGATTCTTGATTCTTTTCACCAAGTTCGAAGACATATTCATACATAATGCAAAAGGAATGCAAAAACTTTAACATCATGTTATTATTATTTACTTCCTTAATGTGTTGGTGTATTTTACGTTGTCTCGTTACTTTTTTGTTTTCGTTTTTGTCGTCTAGTCTTCAAGAAAGAATATTCTTACTTTCCTTTATTATTTTGATTATGATATGAAAATTTTCTGCATGCATAATTGTTGATTATGCCCCCACTCTTTTCCAATTCACTTATTAAGAAACGTTTTTTGTTTCTTCATTCATTTATTTAATGTTGTTGTGTAGTATTATTCAACAGTCGACAATAATAAAGAAAATGAATGAGGCATGAGGCAAATGAAAATTGTGGCCGATTAAATTTTGTTGATGTTAATGATTTTTTTTCAGCAGTAGTAGTGGTAATCAAGATTCTCTGTGTTTAAATCACTTTTCAAATTGCAAATATACGAAGACGTCGTTGTTGTTTGGATGAGAAAAAAAATTGTTTTCAATATTCTGTCGATTCTTGTTGATTTTTTTTTGTTCAAGATTTAGCTTTTGACGGTCTGACTGTTCAAAGTGAATTTTGAGTAAATAAAATTCTAATCTCATTCAACGTCTTTTACAATTTTACAGTTTAATTCTGTTCTAAATTCTTCATTCTCATCGTCATCATCATCACGATTGAATCAACACAATTTGATCAATTAAATCAATCTTTCATCGGCAAATCATTCAACGCTATAATTTGTTAATTTCTGGAAATGTTTTTCGTCTTTTTTTCAAAGAATAAAAGTATATCGTTTCCTGATTCGAATGTTTTGATAAGTGTGTGTGTGTTGATCATTGTGTTCAACTTGTTCATTGTTTAACATTCGGTGGTCTATACTTAATAGTTTTCTTTCCATAAACAACATAATCATCAACTTTACTTTCAAATCAATTTTTCTGTGGTTCAATTCCGTTAAGATAAACAATATGCCATCAATAGATATATTGATTCCCAATCCACTAGATAGTTTGAGACTTTACCATGCCAAAATGCTGCTAAATTCAAACAAACTTTTACTTGGTCTGAATCATCAATGTTTTTCTATATGTCGATCTGTTGATATGTAAAATTCAATGTTACAAATCAAAAACAAGAAAAAAACGACAAGCAAGCAAGACACAGATTGAATCAAAAAAATAATACTACATCAACGACAGGCTTAAATATGAATGCGTGATTGTGAAAAATTAATTTCGCTAATTAACTCATCATCAATCGATCGACCAATAATGAATAATAGAAAACATCGGTCAACAACTATTGAATACAAATATCGACAATACTCAATGAAATCAATAATTTTTCTTTGTTTATTTTGAAAATAAAACGAAAAAAAAAATTCATGACATTTTAATTCAAAAAAACCTCATTGAATCTCTCAGTTTTTATTTCACATAGACCTTTTTTTGGCAAACAAACAAACCAACGAATAAATGAAATGAATTAAATCTAAATTTCATCCTGTTCACTGCCAATGTTCATTCATTCATTGTTGAGATATCAAAGTTTACACAAACATCAAGAATATATTTAAATCTACAAAAAATCAACTGTAAAAAATTGAATCAAATTCAATGACGTGATCACCATGTCAATAATATTATGGATGCAAACATTATCATTTATTCCAGATTCCGGTAGTGTTTAGTCACCCGCTGTATAAATGATGATGATGATGAATTTGAAAAATATTCCAAAATGATTGTTGCTCAAGTGTTTCGATTTCAGAAAATCATCACTCAATCATCCATCTATCTCATTCGTATAATTGACATTTAGTGTGACAGCATTTCAAATTGTTTTAGATTGATTGAAAAAATATGCAGCGAAAAATCGAGTCAACAAAATTTTTCATTTTTTCTGTGAAAAAAAATTGATAAGATTCCGGTTCTTCATAGAATACAATCGTGATGGTTTTGTTTTTTGCCGCACACAAGTCTTCTCAGTGTGTTGCGAGAACAATACAAGATGAAATGAAACAAGGAAAGTCTTTATTTTTGAATGAAAATCTTTTCCATTTCAGTTTCTGATCATTATGTCATAAAATTCATCAATGACACTTCACATCAACAAGAGAAAAAGAATGTCAAATGAAAATTCAAAACTTTATCATCGAATAACCCGAATTTCGTATGTCGACACATAAACAAGAACATCAAATCAGAGCAACGTCAACATTTTAAAACAAATTTTCTTCTTTTTTTTAAAAAAATTTATGATGCATTTGTTGTTGTAGTCGTCATCGTCGTAGGTTTATAGTAATATTGAATTGAAAAGCAAAGAATTTTATTTTTTTTCTTCTTCTCATTCACTCAACCATGAATTAAATGGCATTAAATTTTTTTTGTTTGTTCTCGGCTAATTTTTTTTTTTGATGCAACAATTTTTATCATTTCATTTTCACGACGAAAAAATGATGATGATGAATTTCACGATGATAAAAAGGAATTGTTTCCAAAATTATCGTTATCCACTGCCTTCATCATTACCGGAATTTACTTTGCTGACGATATTGCTGAATTACATTCAAATGATGATGATAATACAATTAATAATGTCGATTCAGGTTGTGTCAATTCAACTGATGATTCATTCTCAATGAATTGAATGTTGTAGTCGATGTGTTGCACCATTTTTCTTCAACAAACAAAAACATCAATATTTAAATCCCGTTTTTGTGTGTGTTTGTGTTGTTCATAGCGGAAAACTGTTGATTTTCCTCATCACCATCATCATTGTTAATAATGTTCGACATTTTTCGCTCATTGAAAACGCTGCTCAAAACAAGCCGCATCCGTATTGATAATACAATATTCCAATTACATTATTCGATTACAGTCATTATTTTATTATCATTCTGTATTATAATTTCAACAAAACAATATGTTGGAGATCCAATCGATTGTGTACGTAGTGATTCGGTTTCACAATCGGTCATCAATACATATTGTTGGTGAGTATCTATTTCTATTTCTATCTATGCATGTATTTACCATCAATCTAATCCTAGGATACATACAACATATACTTTACCAAAAAGTTATTACAAAAAAGTTGGTATAGAAGTACCATATCCAGGTGTGGATTGGGAATCAAATCAAAATGAATTCCGTTATCATCGTTATTATCAATGGGTTGGGTTTGTATTATTTTTCCAATCAACACTATTCTACATTCCACGATGGTTATGGAAAATGTGGGAAGGTGGCAAAATCCAAGCGTTAATGATGGATCTCGATGTTGGTGTTTGTTCCGATCATGAAAAGAAGCAAAAGAAAAAATTATTGGTCGATTATCTTTACAATAGCCGTGGTCATCATAATTGGTACGCAGGAAGATATTTTTTCTGTGAATTATTAGCATTAGCCAATGTTATATTCCAAATATATGCATTGGATAAATTTTTTGACGGCGAATTTCTCACCTATGGTACCGAAGTGATTCAATTCTCTCAAATGGATCAAGGTAAGATTGAATTTCTACCAAAAATAACAGCAACTAGAGAATTTGGCATTTGATTTTTGTTTTGCAAATCTATTAAATTCTCATGAAAAAACTGGTTTGAAAAGTAAAAATAAAACACCGTTTTGTGAATCAGGGAAAATATAACCAACAACAACAACAACAACAACAACAAAAAATCAAATAGCTTTTAGTAGTTTCAATTTCTTTTCCCGAACAAGCAAAAAAAACCAAATAATGACACATCAATTTTTTTAATTCACCATATCTTTCAACAAAAACATCAAGCGAAAAAATAAATAAAGATTTTCGCCAATTCAACTTCAAACATTTTGATTTGACTACATGAATTTTCTCGTGTTTGTTGAAATATCAAATAGGCACACACACACACACACACACACAGTAGGCTTTTAATTTTATTTTTCACACTTTGGTGTCACCGACAACCAGAAGAAGAACCAGAAAAATTATTTTTAGTTTTCCTATTTATCTATGGCTAATCCAGATTCAGTTATACTTTCACTTTTTATTATTCACTCACTAAAACTACTGAGATAAACATTCAGATCATTTACCTCTCTCTCTCTCATTTTATTACATATCTAAAACGATGTAAAAATTCCGAAATTTTTCTTTGAAATTCTCTAGCTAAATAAACTTGATGAATAAACAAAGTAAAGTCAAAGTTGAAATGATCAAACAATCATTATATACAATGTACAACTGAAAAAAGTTGTTGATAATCATAATCACCAACATCAACAACAACAAATTGTTGAATGATAAATTAAAAAATTTTACATTCTTATTACATCGGTTGGTGGTCGTCTTAGTCAATAACACACTGACTTTGGAGAAAAACAATTATTCTTTGATGATCATCATGATGACGGGTCAATTGGAACTAAAAATAAAATTTTTTCAAATAAACCAAGTTGATTATAAGTCATCACGATAGATTGACTGTTTGTCTTTATGCCAGTGTGTATGCAAGTGAAAAAAGATTAATTTTGTAAACAACAACAAGGAGAAAAAATAAATTTCTCCAAAAATAAGAATTTTATGTTTACAAGCAGATTCTTGCGATTCGATTCAATCAAACTCAATTTATTTCTAATCTGACTGAGCAAGTAAGAGAGAGAGAGAGAGAGAAAACGTTTACATTTCAAATAATTAATTGATTTTCATTCTTTTTTCCTTTTCAATGATTTGTTTGTATTTGGAAATCAATGATGATGATGATGTCGATGATGGTGGCGGTTTAGAGGAGAGAATCGATCCAATGATTCGTATATTTCCAAGAGTTACGAAATGTCGTTTCTATAAATATGGTCCATCAGCAAATATTGAAACAATCGATGCATTATGTCTTTTACCACTGAATATTGTAAATGAAAAAATCTACATATTCATTTGGTTCTGGTTCTTAATATTGACCGCAATGACAGCTGCATTGATATTATATCGTATGATTATTATTGCATGTCCACCCGTACGCGTTTATCTTCTTAGCCTTCGTTTCAAACTTGGTTCATTGGATCATCTTCATACGATTGTACGACGAATGTCGGTCGGGGATTGGTTTTTAGGTATGTATCACATAGACACAAGTATTTCAATGGAAAATAATGGAAACTCTTTTCCAACACCAAACACAGTTTACATGCTTGGTCAAAATATCGATAGTGTTATCTATCAGGAATTGATTCAAGAATTGGCAACAAAAACCGATAATGATGGGAAAAAAGATATCATTTGAGCATTCGCTATATAATGAAAATTCAAACAAATCAAACAACAACTTTATTCAAAAATCAAATTGGTTCAAAAAGTAATGAATGGATTTTGGTTCCCTTTTGATCTCGTATGGCTGCCGAAATGTTTGGTTCAGAAACATACTGCAGAATGAAAAGAAAAACAAATCGATAAAATCGATGTTAAAGAATGTGTGTTATTGTTGACGTATGAAAATGTTGAGCAACAATGATTCAACACAACAAATGGTTTCATATTCTATATATTGATTGTGAGCATGTTATCAAAACTAACTAGTCTTTTGTGTGTGTGCTATTGTGCTACATTCGTATTTCTTGTTAATTATGTTGCAATCTCATATAATTTAAATTGACACACGTGGTAAATGGAGAAAAAAAAATTCAAACTAATTCAATCAACGAAAACTTTCACACAGAATTTCTTCAATATAAAATAGTCATAATTGTAAATAAAATTTTCAGTCAATATATGATGTGTAAAATAAATATCATTTCACCTACCTTGTAAAAGATCGTTTTAGGTGCAAAAGATCGTTTTATTTTCAATTTATCATTTCAGGACAATAATAATAATTTTTACAAGCACCGCACAATATTACAAATTACAAATTATTAAAACACATCAAATAAAAAGAAAACCACACGTTTATCGTGTTTAATTAAAAAAATACATCAATCATCGAATGTTGATGTTCTGCACTCACATACACTTTCATTCTTTCGGTTGTCGGGTTTCATTCAACTCTGAATCACCAATTACTCAATTTTTTATCAATCATCTATTTCATTGCCAATCGTTTTGTGTCACTGATTTCTTTCTGGTCATTTTTGTAATTCTTATTACAGGCAAAATAGAATCATAGAATCATGTGTTTTTGTTACAACAGCAGCAACAACAAAAAATTGTGTAGTGGCTATTCGTTAATGACGTAAAGTGCGTCACCACAATTGCTGTAAATGAGATAATGGCCATGTTTTCATTTAACTCTTCCGCTTGATGTACGTAATCGTGATAGCTGTCCAGTAGTTGTATCTTGAACACGGCCATTCTTTTTATTCTCTTCACGACGTTTCCATTTTTTCAAACGATTACGGAATGCATTCATTAGATAACCATTCCAATTATCGGGCAATAGAACGACAAGGAATCCAATCAGTATCAATAGTACACCACCAAGTTTCATGTCACGAAATATGACCGAATTGATATATATATCTATCACTGAATGTAAGAATGAATTTGTTAATCAAAAATCAAAATGGCAGAATAAATCACTCACCAGCCGAAATTGGAATAGCGAAAAACATTCCTAGTGTAATGAAAAATTCATAGGTACAAATGACACCAAAACTTGCAATTAGATTGGCAATAAGAAAACATAGTGATGCTCCGGTCATAAAAAGCCATGGAATTTCTGACCAAACAATGATTTCCACACCAGTTGCATACAAAATCAATATTAGTGGCCATGCTAATAACATGTTGAGGACACCAACTAATGAATGAAATAATGCCATTTGTGCAAATGTTGTATAGCCAATCATTCGTCTCATAAAAACTTTATAAACAGCAAATACAATCGCTGATCCGAATGCAATCATCACTGTGGCTAATGTTTGATTCTGTATACCATCCATATAGACTAATATAGCGACACCGGTATCGACAATAATTATGCCAACAATCTATATGGCAAAAAAAAAAATGAAAAATCAAATGATATACAATACAATCAAATGAGATACCCGTATTCCAACAAATTGTTGATGTAAAACAACCCAAGACAATAGATAAACTAATGATACGGATGTTGCAAACAATGCCATAACAACGGTAGCATCAAGAATACGCAATGAAAATATTAGCATATAATTGGCCAATGTACAAAGTGCACAAAAGAATGCACATCGCGAAAAAAATTGCATCAATGTAAAGCCACGATCAACGATTCCTTGAATGCTTTCACTGTGGAAAAGTACAAAACAATCACAAATTAATCCAACAATCCAACAATTAGTTCATAATTCTTACAGTAAAACTTTTTTAATCGATGTTGCACTTGATGATGTTGTATCCGTAGTACCGATGCTTGATGAACCGGAACAAGCTGATTTATTATTACTAACATTACTTCCAAATGGATTATTACTGACTGCACTACTTCCACCAGAATTTGAACATGATTGTTGTTGTTGTTGTTGTTGTTGTTCATTTTGATTAGTTTTTGATCGACGACTCAGAAAATATGCATGTATCATTAAATATACAGGCATATAGAATATATTCCATACGCTGCAATACCATGTTACTAGATATGGTGCATCAAATTTCGATCTTGGAAATTCATTTATGGCCGACAATCGTTGTTTCATTTTTGGACCCTGTAATGATTAATAATTTTGTTAAAAAATTGAATTTGAATTCAATTCAGACACAAACCTTGTTCGATGTCAATGCCATTGGTGTTGGTGGTTGTGACGGTGGTAATAATCTGAATAAATTTTTCGTTTCATTCAGATTTTGATTTTCAATTTGTTTTGAATTTGGCCGATTATTGGATGAGGATGAAAATAATTTCGAAATATTAAAATGCTCAGCCGATATAGAATAAAGAATACGTTCACGATGAAAACTGATACGAAATAGATGAATAACAGCCACCCAACATAAAGCGATGATAATCATCAATAAAAGACCACGTAAAATTTTTCTTGAACGCTTCACAAATGGACCAACATTTTCATGACCAACTCCACCTAATTCAGCTTCCGATGGATCATGAATACCTAATGGATCACCTTGATTAAGAAATTTTGATAATTTCAGGGATGATGGTGACAATGGTGGACAAACAATTTCAAAATAATCGAAAAACATTATTATAAATAACCATAATGTTAACAATAGCACAAACATGCTTGAGTCAAATGTTCTAAGAGTGTTGAAATCAGTTCGAATCCTAAGATAGATAAAGCTTGTTTCGTCTGTCCTATTGTTTCATGTGCTATTTGTGTGTGTGTGTGTGTGTGCGAATATAATTCTTGTCTTTTTCAAAATTTAGAAACTCAACTCAGACTCAAAAAAAGAAAAATTTGAAACAATATGCCAAAAAAAATCAAATAAAATCAAGAATATTCACACAAGCAAAAAGTCCATGGCAACCACCAATCAATGTTGTGTTGTTCTTGGCCATACACACCTTCTCATCTTATATGCATAAAGTAAAAACCAAATGACTCACACACCCATCGAACGTGGAAAATCAATAATTAATGATCAATGAATAATTATTGTTTGTGTGAATGAAAAGAGAATGAAAAAATGGTAAAACTTGATTCAGTAATGACACACACACACACACACCTACAAGAATAATGGGTTTTTTCTGATTTATTTTTCAATGTTGTCGAAAAATTTCAATCATCTAGAATTGTGAAAATAAAGATATTGATTTGTATTCAAAAAAAAGAAAAGAAAATCACTAAAACAATTGAAATCACACACCCGAAATGAGTGTTTGTATGTTGAAACAAAAACAAAATATTCATCAATTTCAAATAAAGAGAACAGTTACCGAAAAAATAAGGTAAACCATAATTGTCGATTTCAAGTGAATGATCTACGGTGTGTGTGCGTGTGGAAATGTTTTGTTATTACCGCCAACGCCAAGCCAAAATAAAAGCAGATTGAATGATGCGAAAAAGCAACAAGAATATGAGCAGCAGCAGCAGCAGCAGGGAAGAAGCGATAAAATAAAATATGAACAGAAAGGAAATTAATCAGAATAACGTTGGACTTGAATTTAGAAATTGCAATCATACCAAAGTTATGAATTCCTGCAGCCGGTGGCAAAATCGTGGATGAACCTGAATCCATAAACATTTTGATTGAATTTATATTTCCACTATTATCTTGATTACTTGTGGTGGTAGAAGTAAGATTTGCACTATTCAATAATGCCTGTACTAATGAACGTTTTCTTGGTGGCGGTTGTGATGGTTGTTGTGGTGATAAAAAACGATGACTTATCGTATCGATTGGTTCAGAATTATCATCAATCAATAGATCAGGATCAGAATCAATGTTGTTGTTGTTAATAATGAAATCATTTGTTCGTATAGATATCGGTGGTGATGATGATGATACTGTTGCTGCTGCTGTTGTAATCGTTGGTATTTGCCCTATTCCTGCTCCTAAAACGCCACCACCACCACCACCTCCCATTGATTGTCCTATTTGATTCTGACGTCCTTGTGATAATCGTACAGACCAAAACATGGCTTTTTTTTTTTTTGCTTATTATTTATAAAATTAATGCCACTATTTTCAATCAATTATTCACACAGAGACAACTTTAAGTGAAAAAAATTATTTTAAGAAAATGAGTTAGACGAAACGAAGCGAAGAAAAAAAATGGATGGCAATCAATCGAGAATTCGGTTGGAAACTCCCTCTCACTTTCTCACACACAAGAATAATGAATGTGAAAAAGAATACGGAATACAAGTTAAACGTCAAATCGATAAATGTTATTGTCAATTAAATTGTTGGTTGAATCATCAAACCACCACCACCAAAAACAACAACAAAATTCAGTAAAGCGAGTAAGAATTTTTGTTAGGAACGTAAACCAAGAGAAAAAGAGAGAGAAAGAAAAAAAAAAAATAGAACAACCACAACAACAACACCAGCACAGCGACAGAAGTAGAAGAATATTGAGTCAAGTGTCTTCTTGAAGCAGAGCATCCAATACATCCAGTGTTACAGGAGGAAAGACAAAATGAAAATTTCGATTACGAACAAACACAGCTAACGGAATCCTAAGAGAAAACCGACGACCGGCACCCAAACAACAACTATAGAACCTCGATTGAAAAAAACATAGAATTTCATCATCATTTGCAATGATGATGTATATAGATAGACTAGTTGTGTGTGTGTGAGTGTATTTTTTGCCATAGTTGAAGAATATTATCTATCAACCGTCAGAGTGTGTGTGTGTATTCACAATTTAGGTTTTTTACTTTTTTATCAGTTCGGATATTTGAGCATCCAATCCAACTAGGATATTTTGTTCAGGCAAGCCGAAAAGGAGCGGTATTTCAGCAGCAGTGATAATAATTTCCAGTAGCAGAAGCAGTAATGGCAATAATAATTTATTTCGATAGAATCAAATGGAAAATGAAATTGAATCTAGAATGTTGAATTCTTGTTTTTGTTGATTTTCTATATAATGATAATGAGTATTCGATTCATCGTTGTTGTTTACAAAGCTAAAGGGCGAACGAAAAATTCAATTCAAGGATTAATTAATCAAACAGATAGATAGATTCACTAATTAATAATCTTTGTGCAATTTTTTCAACTTGAATAAAATGTTCAGCATAAATTCAAAAAAATTATTTTTTTTTTTTTTTTGTAGTATTAATATCAACCGCTAGATGGCAGGTCATTATGAGAATTTTATTCATTTCCAAAAAAAAATCTGTTCCAATTGACCAAAATCCGGAAGAAATTGAAACTCGAAAAATAGACAACATCAAATGGACAACAACAACAACCACGATGAAAAAGAATCCATGATCAAAAGTGAAATATGATTATTTCCAAACGAAAAGATTTTCATTTTTAAAAAATTAAGCAATGATCACACTTTTCGAATTCTTTCTCAAATTTCCGATTCGGATCAATTTTTTTCTTTATTCGGCCAACAAGAACAAGAGCAAAAATAATGCTAGCCAGTAAAGTTTTTTTTCGATGATTCAAAATCCTATGATTTGGATGGTGTGAATGTTTTTTTTTCTGTTCCCACTATTGGATTATATTTCACATCGATAATAAAAGTATTGTGCGTCATTGAAAAAAAAAATTTACGAAAATTCAACTTGAAAAACTTTCAGTTGGAAGCATAAACAACAACAACAACTAGATAACCACTGAATATAAAATTCAATGGAAAAAAATGCCACAACCATGATGAAAATTCCAAATTTTTCTTCACATTCGGTTTATTTCTGCTTAAGGCTATTTGATTCTATGTGCGAGAAAAATTGGATCGAGAAATGTTTTTCATTTCAAATTCACAGCAATACTGTATAACATGGATGAATGAAGAAAAGAAATTTTGTTTCCATTTCACTAATCGATCATTATATATTGGAGTTTTTCTGTTCATCATCGTGAATTTGATTGATTTCAAGAAAATCTTTTCCATTATAATGATAATCTGTCGAATGAATCGCTGGAAATGTTCTGTTTCATTATCAAATTTTAATAACTAGACTTAGTATCCAACCGATACCGAATAGAAAAGTGAATAAATTAATGCCCAAACACAAACACACACACACATGACAAGAAAAAATTACCATTAGTCACTCAAGACAAAAAAATAAACTGACTAAACTAAAATGTAAAAACAAGCAAAGAAAAAAGAAAATTTGCCCTTCACATACATGTTAAAATCTTGGTAATCTGGTAAATGACTTGTTTTGTGTGTGTATAATTACTTAGAATGTTTTTTACATACCATAAATAGCATGTGCTGTTTGTGAATCAATTGATGGACGAGCCGATGCTGAACGACTGAATGACATAACATCACCATAACTGGAACGTGCTGGTGATGGACAACGTGCAAGCAGTCCAAGTGAACCATTTAACATATATGGATCAGTTAAATGATGATGATTGGAAATATTTAAGCCAGATGTATGTGACATTACTGCTGGATGTATAGATGCTGTATGCGCTGGTGGTGGTTGATCCGTGTCATCACGTGGTGTCATTGTAAACAAACGTTGTTTTGTCATTGCTAATACACCTGATATCGATGATATTCGTGGACGAAAATAGCTTCGTTGAGCCGGTGGCTCTGAGTCAGTATCGGCACCAAAACCACGCCACATGATTGTTGTTGTTGGTTTTTTTTAAAAAAATCTCACTGGTATATTAATTTGACAATGTGAATGGATGAAAAAAATGAACGAAAACATCAACCAGTGATTGGAGCTAAGAACTAAAAGAGCTGAAAATATAAAAAACAGAAAAAAAATTCATAAAAACAATAATTATAAAGGGAAATTTCTGATTTGCATCAAAGTATAAAAATGAAAAAACTTCGTAAACATATGGAATTTTTTCGATTCTTTTTCCATATTAACAGATGAATGATTTATGAGTGAAAAAAATTTCTAAAATTAACCTCTCACAACACAACAATGGATTCTTTACACACAAAAAAATCTTGAAAATACAGGTATGAAAAAATAAATTAAACTTTGTAACAAAAATAAAAAAAAAATTCTATCGATATCGGCAAACACGTCGATAATTTCTGTGAGATATTTAGTAGTTTAATCATATGATACGGGAAAATGGGCGAAGAAGGAATGTTGTATGGAAAGATTCAACGGTTTGTTGCTCACGTAGATTATCAGAAGCACAAACGAAGATTGAACAATGAAAAGAAAATTCCATAATTTGAAACGACGGCGAAATAAATGTGAATTGATTCGTTTCTTTTCACAACATACTATTTCAAAACATCGGGATAAGGTTCGTTAGTTTTCATTTTCATGCAAAAAAATCTTCTTTTTTGAACTTTTTCTCCTACTCACTCGTTACATACAAAATGATTGTATCTGACAACAACAGAAAAAATTGCTAAGCTTGCCATCATCATTTGATTTGATTTGATCTGAACAACAACCATCGCATCTTTTAAATTTCTTTCATTTTTTTTCATTCCACCCTTAATTTTATATTCTGTATTCTGATTGTAAATTCATTCAGTTATCATAAGGGTGTTACTATATGCAACAATACGTGCTGATTTAGGAAAAGCGTAATCTTTCTATGAAACAAACATGAAAAAAATTTAAAATTCAAAATAATTTACAATAACCGAATGTTTGTGAGATTGATGAATCATCGTTTTTCTGATCACAAACAAATATAAATTGTAGTCAAGTGAACCATTTTCCATTTAACTTGATTATTATGATTGATTATTGTTTTTGTGGCAATAGGATGAAATAATCAAATACTACCAAACATGGTTCGTGGTCGTGATTGAATTGGATTATCATTTGAATCAAAATTGATGATCATTTTATTTGGCTGCTGATGATATTGTGATATCATAAAAGTTTGGCTGTTTTGTGGTGGTGGCTGTGTTTCACATTGTTTGGCACACACAGTTCATTATTTAAGAATTAAAAAAAGCAAAGAAAAAATTGGCATCGTTTTTTAATATGAAAAAAATGCATTGTTAGATAGATAGATAATGAACTGATCTACTCTACTTTATATTTGAAAATTCAAAGATTTCATTCATTCATTAATGATCTTCATATCAAATAACTGTTGTTGGTTGATTGTGCGTGTGGCACACGCACACATACACAAGCACAACAGAAAATGATGATGATGAAAAGCTGAATGAATGAATGAATGAATGGAATCTATTTTTTATTCATCCAAAATCCAAAAATATATTTATTTGCCCATTTCAATGGGTTTGTTTTACACTATTGCCGGTATTGTACAGTGGGACCTCGGTTGGCGATGTGTTCAACTGTTCCTCTTAACGATGGTCGAATTTCAAATTCATTTCTCTCAATTTTCACTGACTGATAAACTGTGCCCTGTACCACTGTATATGATTTAGGTGGTTTAATGCATCTGCGCTAAAAATTCATAGCCATTTTTTCGCTTTCTCTCTCACATACTTGATCATCATCATTTTCAATGCTACAACCAAACTATTTTTGCTATTTGGAATCATTTTTTTCTGGGAATAAAGTGGATATGGTGGGAAAAAAAGGTAGTAGAATTTGCACACACATACAGACACGGTGATGTGGCTGTGTTTGTTTGTGTAGCAGCTAATATCACTATAGATAAGAGAGGAAATCATTCTTTTTTTTGATTTTCAGTTTTATTCCATTGTTTAATCGATTACAATGCGAATTTATTGAAAGCATATGGATCGAATCACACAATGATTATCGACAATCCTAAAGGAATCAGATTATGTGAACGAGACAATCAGTCAGGGAAAAAGTCCAAATTGTAATTATTTATCATTAGTTTTTGTAATTTTTTTCAATTACGAAATTCAGAATAAAAATTGTTATATATTAGATTGATATTAGTCGAATCTTTGTGTGTGTGTTCGAATAAAAATGATCAATGATCATCATCATAATCTTTTTAGAAAAAAAACTTAATTTTTCCTGAAAAGAATGAAATAAGATTGATAACAAGTTAACAAAAGAAAATGAAGAAAAAAATTTCACCCAATAACGTGGAATTCCGCCAAATTGAAAAATTGAAAATTTTCATCCACATCATCATCATTGTGATTAACTACAAAGAATGAAATCTAATTAAAATAAATGATGAATGATCTAGACATATATACTGCTGCTGCTGCTTTTGTTGTTGTTGTTGTTGTTATTAAGAGTAGACAATATTCATCATCATGATCATTTTATTTTTTAAAAACTACTTTAAATTGATTGATGAATTTTATCTCGTTCACGAAGATAGAAAACCCGATTAACAATTCGAAAGAATAATTCCTGTCACGACATTTAGTTACTCCTCCCCTGCCAAAAAGAACGAATTAAAGAATAACAGAATCATAGATTTTGCATGTACAGCAATTGTTTTTATTTTCGTTTTATACGAATCTTTTAACAGAAAAAACCAGAATTTTTGTCGTTGTCGTCTTTTTTCACATGGCAACTATTTGTTTGGCCCGACAATAAAATATTGTGATTCTCCACCCTTAAATTTGATGACCAACAACATGTCATTTTTTTCTCCTTGTTTTTTCAAAGTCGATTCTTTGAATTTCGGGATTTTTTTTTTGGTTGTTCGTTGTCGCCCACCACCCATAAGTTGTCGTCATCATATTGGTTGATTATATGTATGTGTATGTGTGTGTGTCGCATATGGTGATTCATTTTCAATATAAATACAGAGAAAGAGAGAAAAAATGAAAAGAAAAGAAAACCTAACCCTATTTTCATTCATCGATACGAATTCTGTTCACGTTTTTTCACACCAATAAAAAAACAACTGAAAAACCAAAAACGTTGTAAAGCTAAATCAAACTGTAAATCCCTGGGACCCAGAAATTTGCTCTATTTTCATCATCATCATTTTAGCCCGTTCTCTCTCTCTCTACACTCACACATACAGGTGTTGTTGCATTATTATCATCCAGAATCACACTCAAAATGGAATATAGATTGGGCGAATGAATGAATTTTTTTTCGCTTTATACACGGAACTAAATGACAGATTATACAGACACGGGAAACGAAAATTGCTCTCAAACAAGGTACTAAATAATGGAAAAAGAGCTATACACACACACACACACATGCATTGCATTGTAGTTAGTATGGGAACTTTGTTTTTGGTCCCAGGATCACCACAACAACAACATGTAATAACAATGATGATAATCAATGAGATTATCCTACCATAATAACCATATAGAAATGAAACTTTATTCCAGAGAAAATGAATTTGTTTCCTGAATTTATTTCAAGATTAATATGGAATATATTCATATATTCATAATCATCATATGAACATGATAATGGCAGAAAAATGGTAAATCCATAAATAGTTAGCCAAACACATGCATACACAATGGACAAGATGAAAGTCTGATGACTATGATTAGAATGAATGTAGGACATTTTAGATTTCTAATTGATTAGATTGTCATTATAATGGATATAATGACGAATAGTCATGTACAACAATGCAATATGCAACGAGGACGACGAACGAAAAAAAAAAAAATTTTCATCAATCTAGTTGTATGGTGAAAGCACGTATGCAGAATTTGTTATCATTATTTTATTACATTTCGTTTCTACAATAATAAAAGAGAATCACGAATCTCAAAGTTAATGAATGTTGTTTGTATTATGATGATTATGATTAGGTTTGGATTGAGCTTGATCATCATCGAAAATCATTATATCATCATCATCATATTCATTTGAGAAGGACGAACGTGATTCTCATTTTTTGTCGAGCAAAACTTTTTTTGTTACTAAAGTTGTGTGGTGGCGTTTGAATATTTTCGTAATTCGCATTATTGATCACGATTTATAACAAATCAATTTATCGATATCAATTATTGATTGATTGTAATTCCATTCATTCCTCTTTTTATTAGAATAATGGAATCAATTTTTAAAATAACCAACAAAAAAAAAAATTTCACTGTACAAGATTTTCAAATTTGAAATCGGAGAATCTTTATCACTCAATTCCTTTCAACGGAATGCAGTAACTTGTATTCATGAATTAGTCAAAAAGCATTTCCTATGGGAAAACAAAGAAGTATTTGGAAAACAAAAAATATTCTCACACTCGTATCCGAACATCGTTGACTATGATGATTTTTTTTGCTCAAGCAAGAATTAGTATCAAATGTTTAATGTTAATATAATGGTAATCATGGTGAGAAATCAAGAGAAAAAAGGAAAAAATACAGAAATTGGATTCATTCAGTTTCAAATTTATTCTTCGAGTTCATTAAAATAAAGCTTTTTCACATTTCGATTATTGATCAATAATTGATGCAAAAAGATTTTTTGGGAAATAAATTTCTATTTATTCATTTATTTCGGAATTATTCCCATTGTCAATGATCTTTTCGCATTTTTTGATTCATTCGTTGGAATGTGTCCATTTTGGTTGTCGTTTTTTAAGAAATGCATCGATACCTTCTTGACAATCTTTCATTGACAAATTATCCACCATTACTTTTGATCCTTGACTATTTTTTTCGTTGTTTTGGGTGAAAGAGAAAGAAAAATTTAATGATCATTGAACAGATCGATCGATGGATAGATGAATCATACATCCATACCTATAAGCATCGGCTAAATTATCCATTTCTAGTTGTTTAAAAAGAAATTGTTTGCCTAATGCGATAACTGAAGCAGGTTTAGCAATGATCGATTCTAGGATTGATTCAGTCTGTACCAGAAAATAACAAAAAAAAATAAAAGAAAAAAATCGGACAATAAAAAAAAACTGTGAATGCATTGCTTCGACCGATGGTGATATGCAAGTAACAAGACCACTAATCAATGCCTCTATAGTGATAAAATTAATCACAATGATGATAATCATTATGGTTTTTGAAAAGAAAACATTAAATTCGCCCAAATTCAAATAATTTAAATACCATTTGCATTGATGGGTCGACCAGTCAACAGCATATATGCAGCCATACGTCTATGAACTGAACGAGCAACAGCAATACCTGGTGTTGAACAGAATAGACCAACATTTGCTCCGGGTGTTGAAAAATGACTACGTTCAGTAGCCAAAACAATATCACAAGAGGCAACGAATTGACAGCCAGCAGCTGCTGCTAAACCTAACGGAATTGAACGTAACGGGCAAAGAGAAAGACAAAAAACAAAAACAAACGGGTTTTCATCAAAATATTCATTCATTTAGAATAATGATGATTTGCCGGAAACGTTTTTTTCTCGAAAACGGAAAACGGTTGGAATGTGGAGAAAATTTCCAATGGCAAACATGGCAAAATAATAATTTCCGTAGATACGAATAATAATGATGAATAAAGAGTATATTACCATCAACTTGACAAATAACCGGAACAGGTAGATCACGCATACGTAACATTAATTTTGTACATTCATCAAAAATCAGTTGGTGATATTTGCGATCATTATTCTCTGCCTAATATTTGATTGTGACAGTGATTGATGTAAATGAAAAAAAGGAAAGAAATCGGAAAAACAATAAATAAATAAAGTTGTAACATCATCAAAATTAGAAAATTTTAATTAAAAACTAATAAAATCAAAACACACACACACACACAAAAACTGAAACATTGAGCAAACAACAAAAAAGTTGACATTTAAACATCTTTCCCTGGGTTTGTTTACTTACATGACAAAAACTCATTTTTTGAAATGAAATATGAAAACGAGAATTGAAAAATAAAAAAAACACCTAAAAAAATGTGTAAACCCTAAATACGAAAATATGGATTGTGACCAACACAAATGTTGTGTTAAATCATCATAATGATCTATGATCATAGAAAAACACATTACATTTTTAAAAATAAAAATAAAAATAAATCCTCTTACAACATTATTTTTTGCACAGAAAAAAATTGATGTCATTAAAGTTTGTAGTTTTTAAAAAGTTGAAAAATAGCTATATGCGTAATAGTTACTTAAATATCCTAGTTGCGTCTTGTAGTCGCGATTTCAGGGTAATTCAATTTTCTTCCATCTTTTTTGCTCTCTCTCTCGCTGTTAACACATTTGAGATTCTTTTTTAGCAAATTGTCACAATCATTATTATCGACAGGAAATCTTTATAATTTTTTTTGCTAAAGTTAATTATTTCACATCCTTCTTTTTTTCATTGTACAAATTTGTCATGGCATTAGTGATTATTTTGTAAGAGCCCATTTTTGTCAGCAACAAACGAATAAATCACATTCGCATATAAAAAAAATGATAGCTTTTTCAAGTTAGCCATTCTTTTTATCTCTATTTTTTTCCTCTCGTATTCTGTAAAAAGAAAATTTTCAGTTTCAATTTTGTTTTGTTTTGTTTGTCGACGACGATTAATGGGTAGTAACAATTCTAGTCAATTTGAAATTAATTTCGATTCTTCGTTTTTCATATATAAAAAAGTGATGATGAACAACAAAACGAACAAACAAGCGAAATTGATTACGAAAAGAATCTTCATCATCATTGACTATTATTGATTTTTTCTTCTTTCAAATGAATTGATGAACGAGCAGCCGTCAACAGCAGATGCTGAATCAACATTCAATTTCAAATGATGATGATGATGATAATGTTGTAGTAAGCAAGCAACTCACTTAATGACTGCAAAAAAAGAACACGCCATAGCCAAAGAGAATCAAATAAGTAGCAAATTTTGGTCTGACCAAAATAAAAAATTCATTTTGGAATTGTTAATTGTATGGAGTGTTAATGTTTTGTCATCATTTAAAATTGATTTATTCTCACTTCTCGTACATTACCATTGTGATTAAAGGGAATTTACTGGGGCTATTTTATTTTTCTACGAAGGCCCTCATTGTAGAGAAAAATTTCATTCACATTCTATCCATCCATAATGTTTGCTTAAGAGCTAACTGTGTGTATGTTGACCAATGCCTAATGGTAACACAATTTAGATACGAAGCAGCAGTTTTTCTAAGACAACAATCCAATTATTACACAAATACACACATCATCATGAGAAGATATTCGATTCATCTGTTCTACAATTTAGAAACAAACAACAACAACATTAGATATAGATTAGCCACTCTTTAACAACATTCTTTTGCCAAATACAAATATTGATGATCAGGATTTCAATAAACAAAAATGACCAGATGAACTTTCGTTACCAAAAAGAAATGAATGTGACATTGATCAATTCATTTTTGGCAACCAATAAACATATGTGAATTGAAAAGAACCGAAATAAAGTTTCTAAAATTCACCATAAAATTTAGCATCCCACAACAAAAACAACAAGCATTTTTCACCTCACACTATTACCATTGGAGGTTCCTGTTCCATAGGGATTTTAATTCATTATTCTCTTATTGACTTGCTTCAGGGTTTGATATTTGTGTGTTCGTATCACAAACAAACAAACAAATGTTAAATTTAGCAAAAAAAAAAAGTTTGAAAAAACAACAACAACAACAATTTGACTGACCAAGAACAAAATTTCAAATTTTTTTTCTTTTTTTAGTCAGACAGTTTTTTTTCATGTTTCATTCAAGCTTGTTAAAATCAGATTATAGAATCTAAGGAAAAAAACTCTGACGCTATTTTGTTGTTTTGAAATAAGAATTTTATTTTGTTGAAAAACAACAAACCATAACAAAATGAAAAAGAATTCACACATATTTTGTTATCATGAAATTCTAGATTCTAGAGTCAAGAATATAGAAAATATTTCGACTAAAATAAACAACAATAATATTTAGACGAGATAAAACAAAAAAAAAACCTGAATAAATAACTAAACATTATCATTATTATTTACACACACACACACACACACAAGAATCAAAACTGCTAATGATTCTAATAATGACGATGGTAATTGTGATTTGTGTGTAATGTGCATTTGAATTTGACTAACAACAACAACAACAAGATGCAACAACAGTACACTTTTTGGAATATAATAATGATGGCCGTTTTTTTCTTGAGAACAAATCAATAAATAACAGCAACAACATATAATAAGAAAAAACAACCAAAAATCAACAACAAGAAAGAATCGGAATCGAAATTCTGAATAGGCATAAACTAAATAGATAAATAGACTGACAAAAAAAAATGACATACCAATTCTTTGAGATCATGGCCAGATGAAAATATTTTCTCACAATTTGATGATATGACAAGTGCACGTAATAATCGTTGCTCTTCATTAGTTTTCGATGTCGATTCAGATGTTGTCGTTGGACTAATACACTGCTTTTCCATTAATTCAAAATGATGATTCAATTCTTGTAGCATTGCCAATGATAAAGCATTTCTATAATAGAAATATCGAAGAGCAAAAAAAAAAAAAAAATATGAAAATTTATTGAAACAAAAATTTCACTTTGGGACGTGATACTTGTTTTTTGTTTGAAAGAAAAAATCATCTGGAATATTAATTCCATGTGCATAGAAAGAACAATATTCGAGCATCAATCAGATTCTTTTAAAATTTTCATTTTTTCTTCATTCCTTAGAATTTATTCATTCGTGAAAATAGTGGTGGGTGAAAAGAGAGAAAAAGAAATTCTTTGACAATCGAAAAATCATTTTGAACAATTTTCAAACAAACAAAAAGTGAATGTATCTGACATGCAAATACAAAACCAACACACATGCATGTATGTCATGGTGAAAAATATGAAAAAAAACTCATAAATAGAGTTACATTTATACAGCAACATTTGGCAAAAAAAAATTGATAATTGAATAAAACGGATTCATTTTGTAATTATGAAAGAAATTACGAATCAAATCATTGATCACAGGTGTGAATGTTTTTCTTTTTTTTTAAGTTTAACATTTTCTGAAACTGAGCATACATGCACTAAGTGTGTTTATGTGAACTTTCAAGTTGCTCGATTTGAAAAAATGAAGGAAAAAGAAATATGGAATGGAATTATTCTCTCATTATCATACCATAATGCATATGAGTTATCAAAATTCCATATGACCAGTATTGGTTGCCAAATAATCAAACTAAACCAAAAAGATACTTTCTTTCAAAGACAATGATTAATATTTATTTCGAAAACACTAAGCTCATGTTTAATTCAATTTTTCGTCGATAATAATAATAAGATGGCGTTAATGCTTTTGTTTTCAACAGCAAAATCTTTGTTGTTCCAACCAACTTTTTCTCTCATCATTCGAATATCATCAGGGGAATTGTTAGATGTGCAAATGATGATGAATATAACTTGCGAATGAATAAATGAAACACTTTGAAACAGATTGTATTACTTAAAACTAATGCTAAAAAAGCAAAATTTTTCATTTTCACACACAGCTGTGATTATAAAAAATCTAGAGACGTAGATCTTTTTTTTGATGAGAAATGAGAATTGTATTATTTAGGATTTTAGTCCCGAAAAAATGAAAGAGAATAATATTAGATTACGCAACAAAAAACTCATTGTCAGTAAGAATGACAAAAAAAATTAAATTAAAACCTTTTGCTTATGATTCTACACGTAGAATTCAGAAAAAATGGAAAACGTTTTGGAATGTCAAGCAAACCATCACACATGACATTCATATATATTCTAATTTGAAGTTTTCAAAATAAAATTGAATCAATTCAAAAGTTAATGGATGGAATTCGAAAAACATATTTTCGGTCGTATGTGAATACATACCGTTTTTTTGGATTATTCAATTTTAATCGTTGAACAACACCACGGCCGCCAAAATCATCATTGTTCACCAAGACATTTGATGATAATGATCGAATTGGAAATCTTTGCACAGAGAAACATTTAAAATGTTTGGAATTTTTCAATAAAAACGAACGCTTTTGAATCAAAGTGATAAAATTTGGATAAAATTTTTGAAATAAAAGATACTATCGATTCTTACCATAATTTATTTTTAATTCAACATTCAAAGCGAGATAATATAAAATAAAATAAATTTATTTTCAAATTTTAACAAACAAATCAGAAATTCACTAGCAACACTTGTTGTAAACACAATGTGATTATCAAGGATCTGAGTAGGATGGAGTGACATCTCATATTGATAATTGTAATCAAAAATGACAAAAAAAAAAAGAAAAACAGAAACGAAAGAAAATTTTATCAATAACAGCAATGAATTCGAATGTGTATGCATTGTATAAAACAGAGTAAGATAGATATTTTGATGATGACATTAACAAAAAGAAAAATCAACGACAAATATGATAGAAATTGAATTGATAACAATAATCAATGTCATTATTATTATAGACACACAAAATGTGATCAATGTAATTCACCAACCGGTGCATTCTCCAACCATAATTGATGCATATATTGATATAAATTATCTGTAACGGAAACTTTATATGGCGTCGGATTCAACAAACGTTTTATGTCTGGACGTAATATTGCTAAACTATTTTGTACATGTTCACGTATCTCTATTAATGTTGGCAATGATTGTGAAATCTGTGTGTGAAAATGAAATTGGTTGAAAATGATGAATCGATAGATTTATTATTTTCTCCAAAATTACCTTTCCGTCTATCCACCAAACTTTTAGCAAACGTTCAACACGACTTGGAGTGGCAAAACAACGTTTCGATTCTTCGAATGGATGACGGCATAGAATTTTTTCCAATATTTTTGGCTCTTCTTCATTGGTTCCGGTTAATAAATCTAATAATGCATAGCCTTCACGTCCATAGATACGATAAACATTTTTACGGCATGGAATTGTTACTTTGGCCAGATCTAGACTGATTTTTATACATGGAATATGATCAATTTCGACAAGCTAAAGATATGTGAAAATGAAAAAAATAATTAATCTATGTGGTGATCATAAATCATAAATCATCTATGGCAACAACAACATTTACCTTATATACACAACCTAATGCAGGTTGTTTTTGACATGTAACCAAATGTGTTCCAATACCAAATGCATTAATCTTATGTTTTTGTTCATTCAATGATATGATCGTTTCTTCATTAATATCATTACTAACGATGATCGATAATTCATTGAACCATTTCAATTGATAATGTTCAGCAATTTTTTGAAAACACCGATGTGCAACAATAGATTGATATGCAAGATCACCACTATCAACTCGTATACCGATAGCACGATAACCAAGTTTATCCAATGCCAATGTTACGATACAAAAATTTAATATTCCCGAACGAATTACATCATATGTATCGACCAATGCTAAAAATGAATCTGGAAATGCTAAAGCATACGATATGAATGCTATCTATATGATTGCAAAGTCAAACGAAAAAAATGAAAAAATGCAGATGACTCGATCATGTAGATTAAACATACCAATTCACTTTTACTGGATTCCGTTGTTGATACTTGTAAAATTTTGGCCACTTCATCTTTGAAATTTAGACATGTTTCGACAAAATTCACTTTTTCACCCGTTATTTTTGATTTTAGATACTGATAGATAAGTGAGGAAAATGATGATGATTGAACATTGAACATTGAACATTTATATAGTTTTTATTACTTACAATATTTTTTGGTTCTTCCATTGTTGAATGAGACATTATAAATGAATGTGCATGTGTTCCTTTCACAGGAATGTTATATAATCTTCCAGCTAATAGATTGCTTGTGCCATCGAAACCACCGATATAACTATATTTTGATGCTTTACAAAGAAGAAAAAAAAATTCAAAATCACCAACAAATAACCAATAACGAATATTTATTTACCTGAAAGGCCACCATCTGGACCTTGCGCACGACGAAGTCCAAATTCAAGCAATTGAATTTTACGATTATCAATTGCAATCTTATATCGGGCAGCATTTGTAGCGATAAGACAAGCATAATTAACCAAAGTTAAAAATGTTGTTTCCAATAATTGACAAACAACAAGTGGACCTTCAATACGCATCAATGGCTCTTTAGGAAATACGACCGAACCTTCGGCTACGGAATAAAGGACAACATCTTTGGCAGTGATTTTTGATAGATAATCAAAAAACTCATCTTCAACATCATCGAAAAGAATTTTTCGAAAAAAATCAATATCTATTATCAAAATCAAAATATAACAACAACAACAACAATTCTATTAATTCCATCCATACAAATTAGCTATCCAAATACCATCAGATGTGTAATGAAATCCTTGTAGAAAATTTAGACATTCTTCAAGACCAGCAAAAACGGTGAATTCTCCGCCGAATGGATTTTTACGAAAAAATATATCAAACACGGCAAATTTTTCCGACATACCATTCTTCCAATAGGCATATGCCATTGTAATTTGATATTTGTCTTATTTTACAAAACAGAAATGACTGAAAAAACCGTTTAAATGAATAAGATATTGTTACCTGTTAAAAGTGGCATGTGAATTTGTCGACAACAATTTACGTGATCATTTGATGATTGAATCGACGAATGACAACCACGATCCGAGTACATTTCAGTCGGCTAATTTTACAAAGGGTAAAAAATAAAAAAATTAAAATTTAATCAATTAATAATAATCAAGAATAGTTCTCATTTAATGAAATTATAATTAAAATTCCATTTCCACTTCGGCAAAGGTGCTTACTTTTGTGCTCATTTTATTTTCAAGATTTTCTATTCTAAGAATTGATTAGATAAAAACAAACAAGGAAAAAACAACGAATGAATATTGCAAAAAAAAAAAAACAAATTGATAACACTACAATCGATACGTGCAACAACAATTTAAAGGAGATAATAATTGAAATGAAGTGTACGAATCATCAAGGCCAACAAAAAAGAAAAAAAATCGATGAAAATTTGATTACCAATGATGATGATGATGATAAAATTTCTAATCAATTTTTATTCGATTTTTCTCTTTCCATAAGCAACCCCAAATCTTAAATATTTAATAATCATTTCGTTTGGCAAACAAAAATTTTATTTTATTTTCAAATTTTAAAAAACAAAAAATCAAATAATGTTGACATTGGCAATGTCACGTGATTCAAAAAAAACAACGCTACTACTAACTGTTCATAACAAACGTTATGCATAAATATTATCATTAGTTTAAATATTCATCGGTAGATGTCCCAATGTGAGAAGTGTGTTTCAAAATTTTGGAAAATATAATTTTCGTTTATCATCAACATAGCAGTAATGTGTTCGTTGTATTGGAATTGTTTTCGGAATAATCATAATCGTTAATCTAACACATGATCAACAAACAAACAAACAAACTAACTAACTAAATTGATTCAAATTGTAATAAAATGAAGTTGAAATATTAATGGTGGTGGTGGTGGTGGTGATGATGATAATGATGATGATGAGATGAACAACAACTAATAACAAAGAATGAATTGAATCAGCCATTCGGAATCGATTTATCGATCTAACTAAATTCATTTTCTTTTCATCGACGATAATGATGACATCCAGTCAGGATTCTGTGGGTGGAGGAAATGAAGAAAAACCATCAATGATGATGACTATACTTAATTATTATTGAATCTGAAAAAAACATTACTCTTTCAAATAGATCGGCCAAATTCTGTAACAAATTCTGTAGAATTCGTTTGTCCGTCGTCATTGAGTTCATTCGTTTAGCTTCATTAAACTATCATCAGGATGGATTGATTCAATTTTTTCTGGTGAAAAACATTTGATTAAAAAGGAAATCGATTCAACTTACCGAACGGCAATTCTATTATATTTTTCAGGATAAACAGGAAAAAATAAATTAAGAAAACAGAATGCAAAATCAATTTTCATATCGATCAACACTTACCCTATGATCAATCTATTTGTGTTGATAAAAAAAATGAGATGAAAAGTTGGAAAAAAATTAATCACACAATTAATCCAGAAAAGCATCGGAAATTACCTGACACATCTGATTGATGATTTGTTGGTAATTTTATTTGTTTCAAAACAAAACAAAAACATTTTATTCAAGGTTAATTACAAAATTTAAAAAATACATACCAACTGTTAATCGATTGGGTCAAATTGGAAAAAATTTCTGATTAATAATATCTGAAAACCATTTACTAAATAGGACAACATACCTTTCGTCCTAAATTGTTCTGCATAATTGACGATATTTAGATGGAAATAAATTATTTCAAAAAAGATTCATAAATTTCATAATTAAAAATGAAATAAAAACTTACACCTCGTTTAAATAATAATCTTGCAAGTTGTAATTCATTTGAATCAGATGGCTGTTGAGTTTGCTGTTGTTGATCTAATTCTTGTTGTAATGGTGATGATGATGATAATGGAATGGCATTTGCATGATATGATGACTGTGTGTTTAATAAAGCCAATCCGATTATCATCATTAAATAATATGATGATTTAGATGATTTTAGAGTCATCGGTTCACGTATATTCAAATATGCCATATTTATTTTTCAGCCAAAAAGAAATTTTATGTTGTTGACTTATAAAAAAAATTTTCTGATTTATTTTTAAACACACACAAACACACATTTGGTTGAAATGTACACTTTTCATATGGGCTTTTTATACCACCGAAAATGCTCATCTGCAAAGACATTTCAAAGAATGGAAAAAAAGTACATTTGTACAGACACACACACAAAAAAACAATCAAAATCTCTCTCTAGGTTTTTTCTTTTTTTTTTGCAGGGAACATTATTCTTAATTTCATTGTGGATTTATATATCGATAATTTCATCTTTTTCATTTGTTGAGTTTTATTTTCAAACCGATATAGATAGATTCGCGATATTGACTACACAATATCATGAATAATCATTAATATTGATCATGTGATGACACAATGATTCAAAAAAACAAATATAACCAAATATCATCATCTAAAAATAATATAAATGAATGACAATGAATCAAGTAATGCAGTGTAATAATTCATATTTTAATTTTAATTTTATTCTGTGCGGTGGTGCTGGTGGTGGAGGGGTCGGATTTGATTCTGTGCTTTATTGAACGAAAACAAAAGAAGAGGGGAAAAAGTACAAAAATTTCAAACTTTTTTGTGCAAATCTGTTTTTTGCAATAACTAAGTTTTATGATGATTAATGAACCAATTTCTTCGGAATATTCCATGTGACATTGACATTTCAAAAAATAACGATTGTTATTACAAACGATTTAGCCATGGATAATGTTCGGGGCAATGTAAATCGTCACAGATAACCATACGTTTGCTTTGTCCATTCAATTCATCGATTTTTTCATAATCACATTTTCGTTTAAATTGCGAAATATCATTGATAATTTCACCATCTTTCAGGCCACATTTTGTTTTGACAATTGGTTTACATTGTTTAGTTTTTTCAATATATTCATGCACATTGGTTGGTGATTGCATCCATTGTAATACTTCATCAATCGATACGAAAAATACATCATGTTTTTCTAATTTATCCTGGATAAAACGTTGTAATGCATTACGTTTGGCTTCATCATGCATCCATTCTTCGCTTAGAAATAATGGAAATGGTGCACGATTACCATTATAATAGTGATTGAAATTATATTCAAACAAATCATATATTTCATCAGCAGTTGGGTGATAGATAACACTACCATCTTTATTGAACATAATACATGCAGAAGCCATAGCACATTCACGATGAACTTTTACTATGATGGAGGGAAGAAAGGAAAAAAAGGGAAAAAGTGAATAAGAATACGTTATATATATACGAGACGAAATACCTACCTCCTTGTACTTCATATTCGACATCCCAATCATTCATTGGTACATCCCAGAATCCCGGATAATTTTCTCCTTTTTTCAAACATGGTTGTACTTGACAATCATTTTCACGTTGAAAGCCATAATCAAATGTATATGGGAAAAACGGCGAATTAATACCACGACGTGATGGATTCGAACAATCATATTCAAAGTTTTCATCGACAAAAGCCTTTTGAAAGGAAAAAATTTGAATAATTTAATTGTCGTAGTCGTTTCTTCAATATTTCAACAATCAATCAATTATCATTTACTTACAGTGAATGTAACATTTCCGGCTGTCTGAAGATTCGGAGCTCGTACACCACGAATTTTTTCGATAGGAATTTCTGAATATTTCGAAAGAATTTGTCGTTGTCCACCCATTTCTTGTCGCCATCCTTCATAATCTAGATATTTCCAAAATTCTTGATTATTATTTTTGGCTTTACTATAAAAAGAAAATAGAAAAATTATATATTAGAATCACACATCACAAGTTCGTTTGTTTCAAACCTGATTGAATGTACACCAATTTCATTGCCACGACGATAAAGTTCATGTACCAATTTATAATTACTATCTACATGTGATACAAAATATGTAGCTTCTATTGGACAATTGTTGGGATTTTTGAAATCAAACAATGTTTGATAATAAGGGAAATTTGTTACAGTAACAGCACCATCAAATGTGACAATTACAAATTGTGGTATATCATCGATATTCATTCCATTCGGTGGCAGATCCTGTAAACATTGACAATCTGGTGCAACGCATGCTGTAAAATTACAATCCGTATTTTTGAATGAAGAATGATATGGTGTTCGTGTTGTTTTCATTTGTTCGGTTGTTGTTTCTACGATTGTTGTCATAGTTGAAGGTTCTTCAGTTACGGTTGTTGGATATGTTTCTTCTGTTTCCGTGACATCGATAGGTCCGGCCAGAACTAGATAACATACAAATATCCATTCATAATCATTAAACATAAATTAAATCAACAATCATCATACAAACCTGACGAACTGATGAGAATTAGGTTGACCACGAAAATGGCAAACAATTTCATTTTTCTTTTTTTCAAAATTTGATTAAATCAACTTACAAAGCAAACAATATGATCCAAAAATGAAAATACCGATCAATTTATTATCGGGTCAATTTATTTATATATAGTGAAAAAAATAATTATAAATCGTAATTAGATTAAATAAGAAATAAAAAAAATTATTAATATTTAGATCTTTCAATTTGATTGATTGATTATCATATCATTGTATCAGATAGATCCGTGATTGCATTGCATCCAACAAATGCACACAATGACAATGAACAACAAGTACTTCTTATCATAATTATCATCATTACAAAATTGTCAAACTTATCAGCATCAAAAACAAAAAACAATAACACAGAGAAGAGAAAAGGGATTGAAGAAAAAACATGGTTACAGATTTATTTAATCAACAAATTAAAATTCTAGATGGATGTGTTGGATAGATGGATTTTGAGGACATGATCACAGTAACAAACAGAGAGATAGAGAAAAACAAAATTAAAATTTTGACACAATTGCAAAAATTGAAATCGATTAATTGATTGATTGATAATCAAATATATGACCGATGATGATTGCAATCTGATTTTGTTTATCAAATACATGCGCTTCATGTGTAATATATCACAGATGATGGAAATTTTCGAAAAAAAAATAAAATTTCTAACTAATTTCTGAACTCATCATTCGATTCTTTTGATTTTGGACTTGTTGGATTGGAATTTTTATTAGAATTATCATTAGAATTATTATTACGTTGATAAAATGAACGGCTACGGCCAACACGTGATATTTCAGACATCATACGATGTAATGGTTGATGTGTGCTAGGTGTTGGTGATTTACGAAAACGAAAACTAGCAGACATTTTTCCTTGTTTTTTCAATCGAGAAGAACTTTCAGAAGCCACAGGTGATGATTGATCGGATTTTATCGTTTCTTTTCCCGCAACGTCATTCTGTTCAATATCAGTGATATCGAATGGTGAGATTGTTGTTGTTGTTGCCGGTAATGGTTTTCCACCACCACGTCGTGGACTACGACCCGATGATGATGATGATGATGGTACACTAAGACTTGATCCAAGTGCTTGTTTACGACGAACTTCAACCATACCGCCAATTACTTCAGCCATTGATTTTTTAGCACCATATTGAGATTTATTCAATGATGATTCACGTGTCATTTTTCCCATAACCCAAAATGTTTCCATTTGTCCTTTTCCTTTCACCTGGATCAAGCCACGATAATCCAAGTGATAGCCTTCACCTTTCAGGATATCTGCAGTATATTTTGGCACCTGTATTTTATCCAATGATCCAGTTGAATCCATACGACTTGCTTCATTCACCGTGTTACCCCAGATATCATAGACAGGTTTTTTAGCACCAATAACACCACCGACTAATGGTCCACTACTAATACCGATTCTCATTTTAAAATTATTAAATGAATGTTTATTCACATCTTGTAAGGCATCCATCATTGATAGGGCAAAATCGACTAATGAATCCAATAGATAACCAACAGTTTTGCCTTGATCACGTGGATTTAATCCCGATGCTGCCATATAAGTGCTACTAATTGTTTTAATTTTTTCAATACAACGAAATCGTTCATCTTCGAGTAACTGAAATGACAAAAAAAAAAAAATAAATAAATAAAAAAAAATGAATGACATGGAAACGGCAACAAACCTGATCAAAATCAAAGATAATTTCATTCAATAAACGTATACATTCAACACCATTGTTAATATCTTCGGAATAAAAATTATCAAAATTTGGTATGGATGCAAACAGCACACCACAGCAAGCATATGATTGTGCATAAAGTTGCTAACATCACAAAGCAGAAAAGTTTTCAACGAGAAAAAAATCAGAATTATGAAACCAGAGAATGTTGCTATTCTATATATACCTCTTGTGGACGATCTTGTGCAGAAAGAAAATAATTGGCAACATGATCGGGTAATATATTTTTCAATAATTGTGCATTATAATGACGTATCTCTCGCATATCCTGTAATTGACGTTTTGCCTGTTTTTTCCAAAGGAAATCCAATCTAGAAGTTCGTTCAATCTAAGTGAATGAATTTTATTAAAATCAAACTTTATAATTTTTTTCATTATTGTCGTCAACACTTACCAAACGGCAATGATGAATGACCAAAAAGAAACAAAGAGTTAAAACGATGAAAACTTTTGTTTCCAATTTCATACACATTTCACTGTTGTTGAAAATTTGAAAAAAAAACAGAAAAAGATTGGTTTTTCATTTCTGAATTTCATACCATCATGGATTACTTACCCATGGGTGAACAGGCTGATTGAACAGCTTTGTTGACGAGAAAACACGACGATAAATACAAATTTGACAATTATTATATAAATCAATGTCATCGATGATAAGGTCGTGAATTTAATGATATAAGGTAATTTTAGAAATGTTGTCGTCGATACCATTGTTAACATCCATAAAAATACAAAATACTGGAAAGAAAATAAATAAATCAAACATAATTATTAATAGTCAATTTTAGTACATCATTGGTACAATGATCATTATCGTAATAGGTCAAGTACATCAGATGTTGTAATATTGACCAAAACCAATCAATTAATAATAATGGGAAATTTTCTAATTTTCAAGTTCTATAAGTGTTTATGATATGTCAATATTTACGAATATGAAACCAACCTGCGAATTATCAAACATGTCATAATGTTGTTGTTTGATTATCGATTGATTATTTTTATCACTTTGAATTGATAAAAACATTTTATTAAAGTCCAATTCGGGAATCAATATTTCATTCAATGATGATGATGATCGAATCGTTGATTTTGAATCAAATTGTTGGTGTTGTTGTTGATGAGGATGATGATGATTATGATGATGATGATGATGATGATTCATCAATGTTTCATTATTTGACATTTGTCCATGATGATATCCATGATGTATAATAATTTGATTTTTATGAACACAAATAATCTATTATATTATTATTATGTAAGCATCAAAAAAAGAATCATTATAAAATAAATAGTACACGACAGACACAATTTATATAAATAATTCATAACTTTTTTACACAATAACAACATGATGATGACAACAGAAAAAGATACAAAATTTGAATAACTACATGTGTGTGGGCGAATGAATGAATGCAACAAAATTTGATTATAAATTCCTAATAATCTAAATAGTTTTCATCATTCAATCGTTCAATCGTTCATTCGTTTATGAATTTTATTCAATCAATTCTGCCATAAAACTTACCATGAAAATGATGGACATTGTAAATAATAGAATAATCAGCGTTGTACAGAAAAGATTCCTTATAGATGGATCATTTTCTAGACGTTCAGCAAAACGTCTGAAAATATTTGGTACAAAATCTTCATATGCCAATAATATTAGTATGAAAATTCCAATAAATAATAGGCTTATAACTAAATATACAATGAAATTGAACCAGGATCTATTTTCATTTAACGAAAAAATGATAATAATCAAAACAAAAGAGAAAAGATGAAAAAAACGACTTTAGATCTGGGACCATTGTGAATTGAAAATGAGTATTTTCTTTTTGTTTCTTATTTCGAAAAAAATAAGAATCAGAATCAGATATATAATACCCATGAGATAAATAATACATAGATAAAGGAATGAAAGAATAATAAAATCAAAAATGTAAATACTTACAGCGGTAGTATGATCAATGAAATGATGACCATAAAAAGCCAAATCACAGAAAAACAAAATAGATTCGAACGAAATACTAGATAGGGAATTTTACCAAACTACAAATATGTGTATGTAAATCGAAAATGGTGATGGTGAAAACAAAAAGAATTAGATTCCATATCAAAACAAATGAATCGATCGAAATCGATCCAGACACATTCTTTCTTTCGAACTTTATCCGCATACATCAAATCAATGATAAGTTCATCAATTTCATTTGAGCACACACGCAAACACACACAGACACACACGCACACATACCATATTTTCATATTCGTTTGAACGAAAATTAAGTAGAAACCAATTGACATTCTCCTGAAATAATTTCTTATTCGATTCAATTTCAATACATTGATCAATATATTTATCAATCTGTTCATTCCATGAAAGTGCTCTTCGTCGTTTTATTAATTTTTGGTTCATTGATTTCGAGTAATATTGATGTTGTTGTTGAAGATTTGAGGCGGAGGATGCTGCTGTTGCTGTTGCTATGGTTGTGGTTGATATTGGTTTCGTGGTTTTTATGGAATTATTATTTCTAGTTTTTGAATCATTTTCATCAACAATTACATCGCTTGTATGTATATCATCAATTGTAATGCTTTCATCAGCATTGTTTATGGATAAATTAGTTTTATAATTACTGCTGTTGTTGTGAGAATTATTAATTTCCGATTGCTGTGATTCAATTTTTGTCGGAAACGAAGGAACCGAAACTGTTACAGTGGATGTTGAACTTTTTCTTCTTGAACTAGTTGTAAATGTTGTAGTTGTCGATGTTGTTGTCGTTGTTGGATTTATTCGATTTCCTGTCTGTTGCTGCTGCTGTTGTTGTTGTCCAAAACAATTAGCACCAATATTTAATGATTGATGTTTACATTCCAATGATTCAGATTCGGATTTATCACCAACAGTAGTAGCCACTAAAGGTAATTGTTCAAATGGATCATCTTCATAACGTAAATCGACTATATTTTGAAATGGAATCTCCGGTAACCAATCATTGGATTCATCATTATTATTATTCAATGATGACATCAATTGATTTTTCATCGATGAATCATTATCAACATTCTTTTGATTCAAATGCTGTTGATGTGGTTGTTCACTATTTATAGCATCATCAATCGTGATTACAACATTCGATGATGACAATAATAAATCATTCGATACAATTGATGATGCTGATGATGATATAAGGTCCACACGTTTCAATAGATTTCGAAATGATTTATGTTTCTTTTTAAATGATTTAGCCTGATTTGATTGTTGATGATGTTGTTGTTGTTGTGAATTGTCAAAAATTGATTCAAATGGATTTTCAATGCTTACAACACTTTTTACACCATTATTATTGTTATTGTTATTATTATCCGATTCTGTAGCCTTCGGTGGTGAATTTATTGACGTCGTCGTCGTTGGAATTTTTCCAACCTCTAAATTGTTATTGGTTATTGCCGTTTTCACCGAATCAGCAGGATTTTCATTTTCTTGTTGTTTTTCTTGCTTCTTGTTTTCTTCTTGTTTGCAATTTTCATCGTTGATTTTATTATTGTCTTCATCATCATCACCATTGTTATTAACAATGATTTCAGTCAATATTGTTGTTTCAACATTTGATTCAGGAATTACATTTGCTGCTGCTGCTGCTGTTGTGTTTGTTGCCGTTGAATTACGAATTTTATAAGAATCTTCAGCCTGTATTGAGAAAAAAAATTGTTAAATAAAATAAAAATTTTTTCACACACAACTAAGACAACAGAATATTCAGCAGAATATTTTGGGAAAAAACTGTATGAATCATCATCATCATTGTATTTACCTTGAGCGGATTCCATTTGGTTGGTTTATCTTGTAAAATGATAAATGTTTCAATATTATGATCTCGTAGATATGAATCACGTTGTTCACCATATCCAGGTTCTAATTCATATTCACCTTGTAGATAATCTTTTGTACGAGCAGATATATGAACTCGTCTAAGTAGCAACAAAAACAAGAAAGAAAAAAGAAACCAAAATCAATTTGAAATTTAAAAAAAAAATATCAAATCACGCGACAATCAAATGAACAACCAAAAAATCAATGACCAATACATCATGGATTTTCTTCATTTCATCAAATAAGTAAAACAAAAAAAAACAATTAAGCTTTTTTCATGTTGGAAAACCAAACGAAATGACTGAAAGTATAACAGTAAACTTTCCATCTTAATTCTAAAGGAATTTGAACCACAAAACAAAAAACAAACGAACAAGAATGAATAGTATACTAGAAAACAACAATAGAAAAAAATAAACATCATTTTACACGCTAAACACAGACTGACACACACACACACAGAGAGAGAGAGAGAGAGAGAGAGATCATCATAAAAAAAATTAGTCCCAGAAAAAATGATGATGATGGTGAAGGTAATAAATTTAGATTATTTTCTTGTTTTGGACATTTTGTTTGTCACATATAATGTAATGTAGTTCTTGTTTTTTTTCTTGTTAAACTGAAAGTGTGACACAAGTATATGGGCAAATGTTTATCTTGTCGATGTTGTTGTCGATTTTCGATTATTAAGTTGAATGCAGAATAGAAAAGGAAAAAAACATCTCCAGAATAAGATACTTGTTTTTTGTTTTGTTTTGTTTTTTTTTGCACTGATCGGTTTTTATTGCTCATTGATGATTATGATGACGGTGGTGGTTGTCGAATAAAATAAAAACAACAACAGAACAATTCAATGAATGACCGTGAATGTTTTTTTTTTCATTTCACCAAAATATTATTATATTTCATCTTCATTTTGACTTTTTTTTGTTCACTTTATCCAATCAAATAATTGAATGTATGTGTCTGTAATGAATTTGTTTTTTTTCAAATTAAAAACGAAAAAAAAGGATTTCGAGAGAAAAGAATACATTTTTCTATTTCAAGAATTGTCGTCGTCGGTTTTTTGCGGATAAAATTCATTCTCATTAATTCAAATAATGTTTTTGTCGTTCGTTTGTTTCATTCATTTTAATTTGACTTTCGTCCAGGGTTTCAGGAGCAGCAAAGAAAAAAGACATATCACTTAAGTTCTCTCTAAAAGCTAAATATATAGCAGTGTTTTTTTTTGTTTTTCTAAAAAGTTTATTGTTGTTTTTATTTTTTCACTACTCAAAACATGATACGTAAGACGAAGGAAAAAAATTCATTTCACGTCTTAAGCGTTATTGTGTTTGTTTTTCGTTTGAAAACTTGGAATTTTACAACGCTTATCAAGAAATTTCTGTTTTTTGTTTCTTGACTTTGGATGATAATGATGATGATGACTGTCAATTTCAAAGTGAAATGAGCTTTACTTTCAAAATACTTTCTCCGGTTTATCAGTTTCACATAAATAAAATACGTTTTTTCTGGGCGGATAATTATATGCTACCCAAGTATGGATAACTAGAACGCAATTGAAAAAAAACTAAATGAAATGTAAACTTTTTTCAAGTTGAAAATATAATTTTTTTGTTTTGTTTTTTGAAAAAATGAACATCTTATTTTTGAAAAAAAGTAAAACCAGTGTGTGTGTGTGTAAGTGACAAGTTGAAAAATCGAAACGCCCTCATAGGCAAATCGATGAGAATCATATATTCATTCATTCATATACGTGTGTGTGTGAATTCTTTTCAATGGGAATAAAACAATAGTGAATAAGGAAATGCAAAACTTGTTACACTTAAATAATCATGATGATGATGATGATGATTCATTCATGTGAAAGTTGATGTTGCAAGAGAAAAATTTTCATTTTTTTCCAAGGAATAAAGAGGGAGCATGGAAAAGAAAATTCTGTTTTATTTGTTTGAAAAATTTTTAATAACCATTCATTTACAGAATTTTTTCTTTTCTTTTCGTTTTTCATGCCAAATTCACAAGAATACAATTCTGTGACTGTGTGTGTTTTCCAAAGAAAATTATGGCGATACAAAAATTTTCAATGAAATTAATTGAATATATAAGGCTATACATCAAATACACATGTGTCATGGATGTTGGAAAAAAATGATTGAAAAAACTTTTTTTTATCTCACACAAGAAGCACACAAACAGTCAAAAAACAGTAGCATATTTTTTTACATCTAAAACATTTCTGGACATTGTCCAAAAATAATCAAGAAAAAGGAAAAGAAATGCTTTTCTTTTGGGAATCATCATCATCATCATGAGTATTATCGTCAGAAAGAGATCATTGTGTGTAATAGAAAAAAGTTTCCATTAACAACTTTTCTTTCGATATTCTTGTATATATAAGTCAGTCAGTCAGTCAGTCATTTAAACTTTGATTCCATGATATTTTCTCATTTCATTTTTTTCGTTCATCTGGTTTTTCTCAGGTGTCTGCCTGTGTGTCTGTTTTGGTGTTATCAACGTAAATTATCATTATTGTATTATTATGGTGGAAAAGGTTATATGAAATGAACGGAATTTAGTTCTTCAATCAAGCTAATGATATAAATGATTTTAGAACACAAACATACGCGAAATGTATGCTTAATTATTGTAGGAAATTCTGTTATTTTGTTTTTAACGGACTAGGCAAACATTTGAAAAAATCATCAATTGACAATCCAATATTAAACTGGGTCGATTTGCTCTCTTCTTCTATCTTATCGTTGAATAATAGAATACAAAGTTTCTAAATTTAATATGTGTGTGGGTGTCATCATTGAATCAAATTTTACTTACCCCGGTAAACCACCCGATTCCATATGATTAGCTAATGTAACGTCATTTGACCATACATCAAATTGCCATTTTTGTAGTCCAATTACACCACAGAGTACTGAGCCAGAATGTATACCAATTCTATTCCATGAAATCATTAAACCGAAAGAGCAAACAATAAAGCAAAAATATGAGATGGAAAATAAAAAGGAAATCGTCAACCATACAATACGAACCTCATATTTAAATCGACACCAGTTTTTTTACGTACTCGTCTTCACGTACCCCAACCATGAAAATAAAAGCAAGATGAAAAGAAAGAATAAAGGGAAATTAAAGTATTTTTAATCAAAATAATAACTACAACTACCACCACACCCCACGCCGTTAATCAGAAAATAATAGCAATGATGAAGGTAATTTTCAGAATCATTTTTACCATTCAAACTTTTTCTCACATAACCAAAAAAATGATAAAAATTATTGCATTTTAAAGTGAATTTAAAAGGAAATGAACTTTTTTGTACTTTACATTACACAAATGAAATAAAACAGTAGTAGCAAGAGAGTGAGCGAACAAGGGAAATTCATTTGAAATTGTACATTTTCCAACCCGGGCTTAATCTGCTACTGCTTTCATCACAAAAAAACGATTATTATCCATTTCTGTTTCAATGCAGATATTCATCTACTGAGTATGTAATAATATTCATAATGAATTAAATTACAGACAAAAAACAACAGAAAAAATTATTAAAGTAGCTGAAAATGAAAAAATCTTCACGATCTTTATGGTGAATATCATCATCATCATCAACTTAATCTCTCATTACGACAAACTATTCATTTGAAACGAATATAATATAATAATAATATAATTACCCTATTGTTTTTGCTCAACACTCACTACACTGATGATGATGACGATAATACTAATTAGATCGATATATAAAGGTAGATAGAAGGAAAACGAAAAAAACGTATTTCCATCGAACAACAACAATGACGACGAAAAAAATTTTGCTTTTCAATATTTACATATTATGCATATAACAAGTTTCAGAGACAGAAAAAACATGGATCAACTATCAAGAATGAGTGAGAAAAAAAACTAAATTTCATTAAAAAAAATGGCTGATTAGTTTCTGGATTCTCTTGTTTATGTTGTTGTTGTTGCTTAATAATAACCCTTAGAATTCCATACAATTCCATCATTAGTATTCTATTGTTATCATCAATGAAATACAGAAGAAAATTCTTTAAAGAAAAAACAATAGATTCAATGGATTCTCTATTACAAAAATCGTTGTTTTGTTTTCTTCTTTCTGACTCAATCATTGTTTGTTTATGGATATTGTTTTCATAACATTCTGCTGGTATTTTAATTTTCCGTTGTAAAAAAATGGAGAAAGATAAAACAACGAGAACAATGTGTGGAGAAAATCAAGTTTTATATGGATAAATAGAAAAAATAATAATAATCGAGAAATTGAAAACATTCTGGAAACTTACTTAATATCTTCAATCATATGGAGACCCATTTCTACACAACAATGTGCATGATCTGGCCGAGCTGTCGGTAATCCACAAACACAATAATAACAATCACCCAATAGTTTTATTCGATGACAATGATTTTCCTGTTGTTGTTTAATGAAAATAATAATGACCCAATTAAATATGGAAATTATACATAGAATGAACGGAAAAATATTAAAATCGTGATCATAATAATAATGAACGATAAACCATATCGATCATCATCATCATGATGGCCTCAATCAACAGCTATTACATTTCCATAATGATTGATTATTGATTCACTCGCCTACAAACACAAACTGGACATTGGAATATTCTAATATTCTATTCTACTCTGGAAACTGGACAAAACATTTTTTTGCCATTATCGTAGCATAAAATTTAATAATAAATGGAACGATAACCATATTGAAAACACATGTATACATCAATCACAAACACACACATAGACGGATAAATTTTTGTTTGTTCGTTCCAGTTCAAAGTTAAATTTCACTAAATTTCAAACAAACAAACTAGGAAAAACTGGAAGAATTTTTATTTTTCTTTCAGTTTTTCCAGATATTGCATACTGTTTTTTTTTCATTCCTTCATTCGTTTGGGTTAGGAATTTATTTTGCCTATATGAAAACAGCGAAAAAACATTTTTTCGTTTTTTGCTCGAAATTAATGGCTAAAGTTCGCGTGTGTGTGTCAAGAAAAATATTTGTTTTGCCTATTAGAAAACTCTATAATATAAATGCCAAAAGATGTTTATGACAAAATGATAAACAAGAGATATTAACATATGGAATTTATTTCCATGCATGTGGAGGCGGTTTGTTTGGTTGATAAAACAAAAAAAAAACAACAATCAAGGTATGAATTTGAGAAAAAAAATCTGAGATTTTCAATGGAAAATTGTTGTTTTTTCTTTTCTCTCTTTCTTGCTTATTTAAAAATTCGCTCATAATGAAGAATTCATTATTATGTCATGTCCTGTCCTGTTGTCGTCATAAATGAATTGTTCAATGTTCAATTTCCATTCGATAAACTGTGGAGAGAAAAGACAAACATTTTTATCGGTACAAAACATTAAAGCATGCTCAGTTTCTATTATATTAGTGTGTCTATTCAATGTAAAAATATCAACAAAAAAACGTGTACGCGCGTACTTACCTCAGCTTTACGATCAAAACGAGCATAAAGATCATTTAGAACACCAACCAATTCTTGTGCTGAACATTTTGATGCCAATGCTGTGAATCCTTGAATATCGGCAAACAATATACTGATGTTTTCCAATTGAATCAAACACGTAAAAATAATATAATATAGTAATGAAATAAATGGAAAAAATGTTTTCGAAATTATTGTTTTGTTCATCATCATCATCATCATCATCATCATCATTTTTCATGGATGGAAATTTGAGATGAAAATAATAAATGATGTGGAAAAAATGAATCATCATCATCATTGCCATTCGATGCAATAGGAAATAAACATTGTAACATTTCGATGAATGATTTTTGTTCATTTTTTTTCTTTTGTTCACTCTATACATTAATTCTATTGATGTTCCGAGATGAAAACTTGACAATTTATCAATACGAATAAGATGAATGGACATCATTTGGTCCCGTTCTTTCCTTGTCCATTATTCCTATACAAATAAATGTTATCAAATCTGATAGATGACCGAATCAGGACTTTGAAACATTGGTGGTGGTACATCGACAATGACGATGACAAAGTGATCACCATGATTTGATCCAGAAGAATGGAACAAAAAAATTCTTAAGAATAAGCAAAAGTAAAAAAATTGGTTCTGGATCATATCATACACACAAACACAGAATGAGGAATCTTTTTTTCTCTTTTCATTTCAAAAATATTTTTCCCCATTTTTTCTCTGTTCTGATTCGCCTTAAGCGAGAAAAAAAAAAAAAAATGCAATCTTTTGTTTACTAACCATCTATCGGTGTGTATCCTTTTTTTACCAGGAAAACCTGGTAAAGAAATTCTACATCTGATTCAATTAAATTCAGATTTAACGAGATGAATATGAATTATTATTCGAATTGAATTTTTCGAAATTCCTCTAGAATTCTGATGAAATGGAAAGATTAATTCTCAATAATATTTTTGAATATTTTATGTCAAAGTTTTTCCTTTTCACATGATAATTTTATTTTATCATCATATGAAGAGAAGAAAAGAGAAAATCGGATGAAAGGAGAAAAAAAATCCAATCGTAATGTAAACAAACAAACTGGAAAAAAATGAACTTCGAGAAAAAAACGGATATTAAATAAATATGTGTTTGTATCGAAATTCAGTTTTTTCAAGACACTTTTCTCTCTTCCGTAGGTTAGGTTCACGCAAGAATAAACCCTTTTTCTTTATCATTCTATTAGCCTTGTAATAAATAAATATAAATAAATAAATAAATAATTTATAAAGGTTAGATGATGCAAATGGGAAATGGAAAAAATTCAATTTAAGATTGAACGTTGGGGGACAAATATATAAAGGGTCTGCGCCTTAAGGCCATAGTCATAGACAGAATGAAAGAAATGATGTTGGAATTTGGATAAAAATTCATTCATCATTATTATCATACAGGAAAATGGTGTGTGTGTGTGTGGTATATTTCAGTTAACAATGATGATAATTACGATTTGCATAAACGGAAAAAAGAAATTCAAAAACTTACCTAACATCTTTGTAACAATGAATATAAATTTTATGAAATTGTGTCGGCAATAGACTACCACGTGTTTGACAGTCTTCTTGTGTAGCTATATCGGTTATTATTTCCATTGCTACAAATCTTGGCAATACAGAAAGTAACAATTTTTCCTTTTGAGATACAAAAAAAAAAAAAAAAAATAATCAGTTTGAAATGATCAAATTATCAATGTTTTACCTGTTTAGAATTTTCACGTTCAATTTTATAACGTGTTTCAATTGAACGACGTGTCTCTAGGAAAGCATTACGTTGAGCACAATCGGTCAGATATTTAGTATATAATGATATTAGATTAATACATGAATAAAGACATAGATTCGCAAATATTAATTGCAGATAATTTTTTTGATTTTGTTGCGAAAGAAATGATATACGAAATGTCAGATCAATTGCTGATGTGATAATAGCACAGAATGCACACCATAATAATGGTAATGGTAACATTGCATAAATTATTAAAATTGTCAGAAATGTATGCCAAATAGCACCATTATAGCTAATCATTGTCACCGATGATGAAGTGGATGTTACTTGAGCCACATTCATTGAAACAGTTCGATGACTTAATTCAGGATCAAAACCCATTTGACCTAGAATTTTACAAACAAAAAAAAAAACACATGATCATTCGTCAGCTGGAGTATAATAATAATAAAAGAAAATTAAAACCTTCAATCGTAAATATTGTCCAACTAATCAATGCGCCAATATAAAGATGATTATTTGCAAAACGTTTCCAACATGTAATCAAACTGATTACCAAACAATTTAGAATAATCCATATTAATGTAAAAAAGGCAAGTAAAATTGATGGAATTTTTTCCGATAGTTGATAATGATGTCTTCGGTGCCTTTGATGTAGCCGTCGTTGCTGTAGATCATCATCATTATTATTATCATCATCAAAAACATCAGATATAGGAATAAAGGCTGAATTGGAATTATGATCATTAATATTATTACTATGATAAACAGATTCGGGAATGATCTCTGGAATTTGATATATTCAAAGGGTTCGTATATGGATAAATTAATGTAGAAATTATGATTTCGGTTATTATCATATAATGGAATCATGATGATGATGATTTTGCCATGCCATAATATTTATAAATGTAACAAAAGAAATGGACAACATTAGATGATGATAATGCAAAAAAAAAACAAACAAAACAACAAAAAATGATTAAAATTTATTCAAAAAGAAAATGCATTCAATAATAATAATGAGTAAAAAAATGGAATAAATTACCATCAACATGAACTTTTTTATCAATCTCATTAATTTGGCCATGGCGATTCTGCTGATTATACTGTGGATGATTATGATTGTTGTGATGATGATAATGATTCGAATGAGAATGAATATGATGATTTTTTGATTAAAATTATTTGAGGAAATTGTGGCATCTGATAGATGTTGTTGTTGTTGTTGTTGTGAAACATCGATACTATCGATACCTAGAATATTCTTATTCTTCGACGATTGTAATAATATATTCCGACGAAACTGATTTCGATGATTATTTTGTTGAAGAATTTTAATTAAAGATTTATCATCATCGTCGTCATTATGATTATTATTTAATGTAGAATTTCTTGATAAATTCATCAATTCTGGATGAGAATTGTGATAATAATTATTAATGAAATTTCTAGTCATTATTAATCCATCATCATAATTGTCATTATTGTTGTTGTTAGCATCATTTTTATTGTCATCATTATGATTATGGTTATAATTTGCTAGAAAGTAAGCTAATAAAAATATAATCTTCACCATTATATCAACAACATTGACAATAACTAATGATTTTTGTCGTTGTCGCTGTGAATACCGTTGATAAGCCGATTCTAAATGTTTATCTTTAAATTGATTTGTTAGATTGAGCAAAAGTATTCCTAAAGAGAAAATTGAGAAAAAAATTCAATTCGAAACAAACAAAACAAAATTCAAAAATTTTTCATGCTACAGAACTATTTTCTTTGGAAAAATAATCTAATTTTGAAACAAAACAAAAAAAATGAAATGAACTGATGATGATGAATCAAATTTGAAAAACAGACAAAAATAATTTTCGATAGAAAATAAAATTCACGAAACGCACATACCTTTATAGCTTGAGCTCCAATTTTCCAAGGCAAATGATGTAGACATCGTTTTTTTTGTCGTTACTTTCGTTCTTCCCGAAGAAAAGATTTTTTTTTTGTTTTAAATTATAGAGATTCGATCAGAGATTTTTTCTCTTTCGTTTCTAGGAAAAAATGGTTGAAAATCAAAAATAAAATAAAATAACTGCACAATTGAAATTGAAATATAAGAAGAGAAAGTTCATTTTTTAGTCGAATCAGACCAAAAATAGGTAAATTATGGAATTTTTTTTATTGGCAAAACATTGAATGACAAAAAATGAAATTTCTTGTCACTCAATGTTTAAATGTTTGGCCACACATTCAATTCATGTTCAAAAGATTTATTTTTATCAATTCAAACAATTTTTTACAGCTCATAAACAGCCGGAAAATAGAACCTAATAATCATTTCATCGGACACAGGCATGCATTCAGGTCTGCTCGTCATCCGGTTATGTTAGAACAGTTTAAAATTACAGACATGAAAAGTTTTCAAAAAAATCTAGTTAAAAACACTCTCATTTTGACATTATCCGTCATCCATCATCATCATCATCATCATCATCATCATCATCATTATCATGATGATCGAAATTTCGCAAAAATTTAAAATTGAAAAATTTGAATTATTTTTGAAATTCAAAGAAATAATTTATAAACGGAAATTACTGAGTGGAAATTATCTTGACAACTACCACAACGAGCAAAAATTGTGTGTGTGTGTGTGTGTTTAGAATGTTGACAAAATTCAAGAGAATATTGAGATTATTTTGGACCAAAAATGATAATGATAGAGAAATGGAAATCACCATCATCATTGGAATAGATACTAGACTGGACAGCAAGAAGAAAAAAATTCATTCAAACGTAAGAATAAATTCTCAACGAAATATCATTCTATGTGTGTATTCACACGAATGGATTGATGAGATTTATTTTTGGGAAAAAAATGAAAAAAAAATCAAGGGATTCGTGAGTAAAAAAGGCAGTAGAATTATAATGAAAATAACATGATTATTATACGCTTCTATTATTCACTTGACAACAACAATTCGATATAATGGACTGAATAATTGTCAACTTTTCACAATCAACGAAAAGAAAATCATTTTCTTCCAGAAAATTCAACAACAACAGTTTATTTTTGAACAAGAAAAAACGACCATCTTTCTGATTTTTTGGTCATAATTAATAATGTGAGCATCCTCATTTGAAAAGTGATAATGAGGCAACAACAAATAACAAATTTGTCGTAATAATAATGTAATGAATCGGCAATTACACTGCATCATTATGATGATTCTTGTTTGGGCGATAAGATTTCAATTCTGTTCATTCATTATTAGATCAAATAAGTCGACAAAAAAATGTTTCAATAATGCTCCAGGTTGTATAATAACAGTCACACAGTTTTGCTTTGTCATTTTTCGTATTATGATACTTAGCATAGGATTCACATTTTATATTTTTAGACTAAAATTCGCCATTCATTCTTTGCTTCTCTCCCTCTCTCTCACTTTCTCTTGGGAATGAAGATAAAAAATGAGAAAATTTCATTATCAAGTAGTTTTTGTTGTTGTTGTTTATGAATAACATGAATATCGGTTTTGATTTCGTCATTTTCACCAAAAAATCCATTCTCTATCCAAGAAAGCTTAAGTATATAGAATCGATTGCTTCCTGGAACACATACAATCACTCACTCACTATTCATTGGAAACAATGAGAGAAAAATATGAATTGATTGATTTTTCTCCTTTATGGATAATATATTAAACACGTATTATCGATTCACATATATAAATAAATTGACTACTAATCAATTAATATATCTGTATGCGTATAAAAAAGTTGAAAAAAATCGAAAAAGCAACCATTGAAAAAATCCTTATTTTCATTCCAATTCACCGTATGGTGCCATTCTTTTCGTGTAAAAAATGTCGATAGAAAAAATAATAAAAATCACTTCAGAATAATGAGATTCTTGTGAAAGATAAGAACAAGAAGAATACACACCGAGAATCGAAATGCAAAATACAATATATATGGACAAAACTTCAATGCATGATGATCTTTTTGGTAATGATGTAATCTACTACTACTACTACTTACTAACTTATTTAGTAACTTCCTACCGCCCACCAAGTTTGTTAATGGTTTTTTTTCTTTTTCTATTTTTGCCTGTCAAATGTGTACGTTTCAAATATGTTAATTCGATATCTTCTTCTCATTCTTCTTTGAATGTAATGAATTAAGAATCCATCTTTGATGGTGGCCAAAATAGAAAAGAAATTCTTTTTTTCCCAATCATTATCTACAAAATTGATGGTTAAAAATGATGTGAAATGTGAAAATTAGCTTAATTTAAGAAAAAAAATTATATGTTAATTTGAGATATGACGTGTGTGTGTGTGTGAGAGAGAGAGAGAGAGAGAAACAAATTAAATGAAATGGAGCTTATCTCACACGCATATTCAAGTGCGAAATATGAAATATTTTCAAATCAATTAAACGAAATAAAATGGATGATGATGATGATGGAAACAAATGTTCAAAAAAAGAGACAATTTGTCATTTTCACATATTCATCTATCATGATGATGACATATTTTATTGATTTAATTGATTCTCAAAAAAGACAAATAGAGAACGAGAGAGAAAAGAATTTAAAAAAAAATTTCTGCCATTCACGAAATTCTATGATGAAATTCTTGAAACAGTGAACATAAAAATTACAATGTAAATAAATTAAAATTTGAAAAATAATAATGAAAGTCCGAAAAAAATGGAATCAAATAACATTATATGATGATGAAATTAATTTTATTTGCACTGAAAAATTTTTGTATTTTTTAAATGAAACTTAATAATGGCTCAATTTTTTTCATCATCACTGGAATTTGATTTTTCCTCCCTCTTTTGTACAGAAAGAATTTTTTTTCGTTTTGTGTTGATTCAATCAATATGAAATTGTAGGTAATTGAATTGAACGTGGAAAAAAATTTTCGAAATCAAATATAGAAAGAATTTGTTTTGTCATCAAGAATTTCAAATTTTCAGTTGTTCAACATCAATAAGGAATCAATAATGAAGAAATTTTTTTTATTGACACCAGACACACACACACACACACACACACTGGTAGTGTTGCCTCATTTTTTCGTTAATAAAATTAACCTAAAAATATTATATCGGATCGATTGATCAATGATTATGATGATTGTTGTTGTTGTTGTCGTCGCGAAGAAGAAAAATGTTGTTCCATATACATCCATGTATGTACAATGAACATGAATGGGCGCCAAAAAATATCGGATCAATGATCATTATTCATTATTATGTTTGGAATTTATCTATATGGATAAATAATATATCCAAGTGTTTTCAAAATCATGTTGAAGGACATTCATTTAGTCTGGAATTATTATTAAAAACATCCTTCACCGATATATTATTCAAATATATGGCGGCTCCCATAGTCTCAACCCAAAGATGGTGGGGCGTGTTGGTCGATTCAAGCATGGTACAAACAGCATGACAAACTGAAGTACACACACTGTGTGAATGAGATGAGCGATTTACCATGTGATCAATGTCATTTTGTAAACAAAACAAACGCATTACACCATTGTCGAAGGGATCACCACTAACGGTTGATATTAGACGAATGGATTTCCGATACCGAGCTTGACGTCGACGGATGAATCGGATTAAAGCATTGGTAGCGTCAGATTTTGATTTCAACGGAATGCTAAAGCAAAACCGAGAATGATGATCAACGATAAGCATACCAAGCTGATAATCACCACAAGTCGGATATGGACATTCCCAGAGTTCAATATGGAGATGATTAAACGATTGATCATTCACATATGACTTGGGTCGTTGTTTTGATGATGGAGCAGACACATGATTGTCACATCGATCATTGCTCCCCTGGACATGAGGAAAACGATGGTTGACCTGTTGACTGGTGCTCTTTCCACAGTGGTCCAGGCGTTTTTGCCGAAGACTGAACGACATCAGTTTGGGACGTTGATGGAAAATCCACAAACCATTCGAATTCTGGTAGGCAGTGATCGATACATCATCCTTGCGGATGTGTGCAGCTGGATTGGTAGAATCAGTATCAAAATTGACATGAAAACCATCGGCCAACAATTGCTGGACTGAGATCAGATTACATTGGAATTTTCCGACAGCAACATTCTTCAGTATCAGCTGATGTTTCGAATCACGGTGAAAAATGACATCACCAATTTTGTTGGATGCGATCGGTCTACCATCAGGATCAGCAAACACATTATGTTCGGATCGAACATTGATGAGATTGGATTCATCAACAGTGCCATGTGTTGGTGAACTACAGTTCAACACCCAGGAATTGGAATCGATGTTAGTGAATTCCGATGAACTAGGCTTGAGAACAGCTGGAAAACTAATGATCATGATGATAAAAACAAGTAGAATTTTTCATTTTTTTATTACAACATGATTCTTTTACATTTAACGATGATCATGATATTGATATAATTTCAAGTACAAAATGCCAAGAATAATACAGGCATTACAACTTCTCAAGTATCGCCAATTTCAGATAGAGAATAATGAATTTCGTAATGATCATTGAGCAGAGCGACCTCAACCGGGTTGCATCGAATCAATTCGAACATTCGAGTTGACAATCAATGAGTTGGCTCTTGATCATAATATCACCGATTTGCGATGTATGAAAACCTTTATTTGTGTGATCCTGAAGCAAGATGGTGTGGTACATCCATATATCCATAATAATCCATAATAAATTTTTATTATTATTGGAACAATTTCATTTAGAAAAAAAAAGTTATTGACATCGTTCAAACTATGACTTGGTGTCAATCGTTTTCTCTGACAATTTATTTATTAATAATTTCTCGAAAAAAATGGTCACTAGTTTCACAATTGCTGCTGCTGTTGCTGAAAATCGATTGTCAAAATTGAACGGAAAAAAAATTAAAAGAATTTTTCATTTTCGGTCAAATGAATTAATACTGATGATGATAAATAAATTCTATGTATTTTTTTCGTTTTCTTCATCATTTAAAAAACCG